CTCCCCGAGCCTCCACGCGTGGCCTGCTCTTACCTGTATCCAAAACGGCCACGTGGGGACTCCTGGGAGGGGAGGGATGAGCGGGGCCAGCCAGGAGTGGGATTTGACGGTTCTCCAAACTGCACAGAATCTTAGCTAGAGATTCTCCCGAACCCCTGCGAACCCCCAGCAGCCCACCCCTGGATTCACTTAACAAGTGTGGCGAGAAATGGGTCAAAATTCATTTAACAGCTGTCTCGGTTAGCAACAGAAATGTTGGGCTCAATTGCAGTTGTAAGTCGAATTTGAATCCTGGAAGACAGTCAAGATTGTCCATCGATGAGCCAATCAGTTAAAAAGTGCTGGCATATGTCGCACCTGTACTATTTCTCTCCTGGAAACAATGCATGGCTAAATGGAAGAAGGTACCACTAAGGAATTTTAATATTGATTTTATTGCTTTTTTAATTGATCCTTTTCTTTTTCCCTCTTTCTCTGAATTTTTCCCCTTCCTCCCCTTTTCTTCCTTTTCCACCGCTTTTGCTTTTTAGCAATCACAAAATAACCATATATCAAAATATTATAGTTAATGTTTTATAGAGATTGCTGGTGATTTCTTATGACGAATGGATAAACAGAGTTTGTAAATTGATCAAATACAAATCAGGAAAGGGTAAAACTTCAAATGTTATCATACTTGCAAAGGCTTTGGTCATTTAGTGATGTGTAATCTTTTATCCACAATGTTCCTTTCATCTTCTTCATTTATCTGTGTTTATTCTCTTTATTTCAATGCTTTAATAAAGGATAAATAAAATTTAAAAAAACCTCTCCCCTTGGTATTGATTTTAAAGAAAAATCGGTGTCTCTTATATTATTCATTACCTCCCTTTGCTTCATCTGTAGCTTCTTCCTGTGTCTTCACTTCTGTGCTTTTTTTCATCCTACTAGAGGTGTCTGCAAGGATAGAGTCAAAAAAGTCAATATGGAAGCCACAAGCATGAATTCAAATCCTACCTTTGGGATGGGAGGGGGAAAAAAATCATAATTTGATGGTGACCATCTTGATTTTTTTGACCCTATCCTTGTAAAACCCTAGAAAGAAAAATGGAAAGAGAGAAAAATAACTCTTTTAGGAATTCCATTATTATTCTGTTACTAAATGAATGAGTTCACTTAGTGACCACTCAAAGTTACAATGGCACTGAGAAAAGTGACTGACATTTTTCACACTTAATGACCGTTGTGGCATCCTCGTGGTCATGGGATCAAAATTCAGATGCTTGGCGACTGACTCATATTTATGACTGTTACATATCCCGGAGGTCACGTGATTCCATTTTGTGACCTTCTGACAAGCAAAGTCAATGGGGGAAGCCAGATTCACTTAACAACTTAACAGCTGCAGTGATTCACTTAACAACTGTTGCAGGAAAGGTTGTAAAGTGAAGCAAAACTCACTTAACAAATGTTTCACTTAGCAACATAAATGTTGGGCTCAATTGTGGTCGTAATTCGAGGACTACCTATATTCTCTTACTCAGCATCCTCCTCCAACTGCCATGTCTGATCTCTGATTGAATTTCCCCAAACGTCCATCTTTTGCACCAGCCCGTTTGCTGCAAATTGCAAGATTCCTCCTCCGGCTTCACACATATTGTGTTGCCATCTACATTGTGCAAAATTAACTTCAGAAATGCCCAACCAGCTCCTCCTTCTCTCCACTATTTCCAAAAGCTTACTCCATTTTGCAGGGAATTTTTATTATTATTATTATTTTGCAGCTGGAATGCTGCTCTTTTAATTTGGCAGCCATTTTCAAGGTCTCTGTGGGACTCTCTCACCAGGCCACATTCTCCCTAGAGCAGGGGTGAGCTGCTGGGGGTTCACAGGTGTTCAGGAGACCCTCTGGCTAAGATTCTGTGCAGTTTGGAGAACCCCCAAATCCCACTCCTGGCAGGCCCTACCCACACCACCCCTCTCCTCCCAGGAGTCCCCACAATGCAGGTAAGTGTAGAGCACGTATTGTGGCTCATGGAGGGTGAAAAACGGGCCTGCTGGAAGTTTGGGCCTGTTTCCGGCCTCCAGAGGGCCTCCAAAGCCTGGGGAGGCCATTTTCGCCCTCCCGGAGGCTCAAGAACAGCCTCCAGAGCCTGGGGAGGGCAAAAACGCCCCCTCTGCCGTGGTGCAGGAGGCCGACTAGGCCACGCCCATTATGGCCACGCCCACCCAACAACCAGGCAGAGAACCCCTTGCTAAAATTTTTGAAGCCCATCCCTGCCCTAGAGAAAGTATATCACTCACCTTCTGTTGACTCTCCAAAACGAATCATTTGCTTTCCCTTCCTCTTTTTAAGCTTTAAATTTTTTTAAAGCTTTCCCATGAAGAACTATTCTGCAACAATTCCAGAGGCAAAGACCAAGAATGTGCAGCCATTTTTAAGTTACATGGTGGTTCTTTTCCCTCTTCCCCCAAATCAGGAGTGGGTCTCTGTGTCACCCAGAAAAATGTAGCCGCGATCTTTGAAAACTGAATGACCCATCTAAAAATGTGAGGGAGATACAGGTAATCCTCGATTTACAACAATTCATTTAAGGACCATTCGAAGTTACAGCAGCACTGGGGAAAAAAAGACTTATGACCACTTTTCACACTTACGACCACTGTCGCATCCCCATGGCCATGTGATCAAAAATCAAGTGTTTGGCAATTGTTTCATATTTACGACGGTCGTAGTGTCCTGGGGGGGGTCACGTGATCCCCTTTTGCAACCTTCTCACAAGCAAAGTCAATGGGGAAACCGCATTACTAAATTAACGACTGTAGTGATTCACTTATCAAATGTGTCAAGAAAGGTTGTAAAATGGGGGCAAAACGAATGTCTCACTTAGCATTAGAAATGTTGGGCTCAATTGTGGTCATAAGTCGAGGACTACCTGCGCAAGACTGTCTAGTTCACTGAGAACATTGCATCCATGTCTTCCCCTCACCTAAAAGTTGTCAGAAGGTCGGCTTAAAGTTCTCTTCCTCCAATCATAATCATAATCATAAGTTTATTTGTCAAGCATATATAAGATAGCAGGTAAAAGTATAAACATAATTTGAATACATGAAAAGAGTAAGTAAAAAGGAACATTAGGACAGGGATGGTAGGCACGCTGGTGCACTTATGCACGCCCCTTACAGACCTCTTAGGAATGGGGTGAGGTCAACAGTAGACAATCTAAGGTTAAAGTTTTGGGGATTTGGGGAAGAAACTACAGAGTCAGGTAGTGCATTCCAGGCATTGACCCCTCTGTTACTGAAGCATATTTTCTGCAATCGAGTTTGGAGCGGTTTACCTTGAGTTTGTATCTGTTATTTGCTCATGCATTGTTGTGGTTGAAGCTGAAATAGTCATTGACAGGAAGGACATTGTGGCAGATAATTTTATGTACATGTAGAAATAATCCTCAGTCCCAAAGGTGCTTTTTCAAAATGCAACTGGACTTTCTGGTTTTTCTTTAAAGGCATTTTGCTTCTCATCCAAGAAGCTTCTTCAGCGTCTTCAGTTCTGAGCTTCTTGGATGAGAAGTGAAACATCTTCAAAGAAAAACCAGAAAGTCCAGTTGCATCTTTAAAAAGCACCTTTGGGACAACCAGGACCTGGATGACTGAGAATCTCCATAGACATATATTCCTCAACATATGACTATAATTGGGACCAGAACCTCTGTCACCAAGTGATGCAGTCATTAGGTGAATCACCTTGTGATTGTACCTGATTTAAGACTCTTTTTTATTTACTCTGGTTAAATAAATAAATTCCTGTATTGATACTGCATGTCAGAAGTCTCCTGGGAAGATTACAATGGCAATCACAATACACCCCCCTCCCCAGATGCTAAATATGGCATAAATGCCAGTTTCCAAGCGTCCAAACCACAATAATGTGACTGCAAGGGTCCTAAATACCAAAAGTGCTTTTCAAAAGGCAACTGGACTTGTTTTTTGTTTTTTGTTTAACCTTGAAAACTCAGGCTGAAGGAGTTGCTTCAACACTGGAGGTTTTTAAGAAGAGATTGTGTAGCCATTTTTCTGAAATGGTATCAGGTTTCCTGCCTGAGCAGGGAGTTGGACTAGAAGACCTCCAGGGTCCCTTCCCAACTCTGTTATGTTATTCTCTGAAGCTTCTTGGATAAGAAGCGAAATGTTTTTTGGGTTTGTTTTTTTTAAAATTTGATTTATATGCCGCCCTTCTCCGGAGACTCAGGGCGGCTTACAATGCGTTAAGCAATAGCCTTCATACTTTTGTATATTTTATACAAAGTCAGCTTATTGCCCCCACAAACCGGGTCCTCATTTCACCTACCTTCGAAAGGATGGAAGGCTGAGTCAACCTTGAGCCTGGGGAGATTCGAACTTACAGTAATTGCAGACAGCTTGATGTTAATAACAGTGCTTTTTAGTCTGCTGAGCCACCAGGCTCCGTTTAAAGAAAACGCAAAAGTCCAGTTGCTTTTTGAAAAGCAACTTTAGGACAACCATGAAATTTGGAAAGATGGTTTGATGTTTGAAAACCATGAAGTCTGCAAAGCACCGTTGGAATAACTTCAGCAGTTGTGGGTACTCCATTATTGGAAGCTTTCAAAAAGAGATTGGAGGCCCCTTCCATCTTTCTTATTCTATGTTCTATGACCTTGATGATTGAGAATCTCCATAGACACCCTAAGTGCCAATAAGTCGCTTTTTCCAGCACCTTGGAACAATCACTAAAGGAATGTCCTAAGTTCAGGACTACCTGTATGTGTCCATGTGTGCCTTTCAACAACATCCACACAACGATTTGGCAGTGTCAGTAAAATCCTGTCAGCCAACCATGTTCCAGAATGTTCTGATTGTTTCAAGATTTCTCGAAACCAAATATAAAATTATTCTGACCCACTGAGTTTCCAACACCAAGCAGCCACCAAGTAATGAACGCAATATTTTAATAAATAGAAAATTTAAAAGAAAAACATTAGGCAGCAGCGATTTTTATATGCAGTTTTTATTGATATGCAGATACAAAGAAATTAAAGTCACCATTTAATTCTACTGAACCTTGGAGGGCAGTTGTAGCCCAAGATTAGTCCAAGGTTATGTGCACCCCAAATCTAAAATAATACCCCAATGTGAAAACATGTCAAAGTTATAACTATGATTAGAATAATTCTGGGTAAGATGGAAAATCATTTATATTTACAATCAACAAACCAAGTTATGATTTGCTAAGTACAAAACTTGGTAAACTTCTTGGTAAATGTCTTGGTTTTACACATAGCTTTTCTTGATTTTTTCTTCACCCAGGACATCTTCTTCGTCTTCTTTTCCAGTTTCCAATTCACATTCAAGGTAAATTGCTGCGATCCTAAAAAAGAAAGAAAGAAAGAAAGAAAGAAACAGGAAGTTGAAGTCCACCCATCTAAAAGGGGCAAAGATTGAGAAACAGAACAATAGACAGACTTCACTAAATCTTTGGAACAGTCCCCAATCTTAAAGTGGCTAAGACACTGAGCTTGTCAATCAGAAAGGTTGGCAGTTCGGCGGTTCGAATCCCTAGTACAGGTCTCCTGCGTGAGCAGGGGGACAGACTAGCTGACCTCCAAGGTCCCTTCAAAATCTGTTACTGTTAAATTAAAGAAAGTTGGAGTCTTCACTTGAATTTTTCTCTCTGTCCCAAAGGTGCTTTTTTCAAAAGGCAACTGTCTTTGTTTTTCTTTGAAAACATTTTGTTTCTTATTTGAGAAGCTTCAGAGAATAACAGAGTTGGAAGGAAGGAAGAAGGAGCAGCAGCTTCTTGGATGAGAAGAAAACGTTTTCAAGGAAAAACAAAATCCAGTTGCCTCTTGAAAAAGCATCTTTGGGACAATCCTAGCCACATTAATTGGGTAAGCCACCCAGGGGGGTTGAGAGTTTGGCAGTCATATAAATTCAAGAAACAAACAAATAAATTTAATAAACTCACTCTCGGGTTGGTGGAGCCTTAGGTTCAGGTGTCATATCCTGAAGATCTCTGTTGCGGGTCTCAGGAAGAAAGCAGCACAAAATTCCTGCAACCAATGATGAACTTCCGCAGATGAACATAGGAATAGCAAGGTGGTATGTGGCCAACATGCCAAGCAATGGTGCAAGGATCCCCGCAACACGAGCAGACATGGAACATAAGCCAAGGCCGAATTGTCTGGTGGAAGAAATAGAATAAAAGAAACTGAGTCACTCAACCTAAAAAGTTTTCAGATTAAAATAAATGAGAAAGCAAATAATATGAACTTCTTCTCTTCTGGGAATCCTGGAAGCTGAAGTCCACGTATCTTAAAAGTTGCCAAGTTTGAAAAAGACTGCTAACAATTAAATTACACACTGCATTTATTTTAAATTTGGGAAGGGCACACTTATTTTGTTCTTTGTTGTTTTTGTGCTGCCCAGAGTCACAATTGCTTGATCTGGATGTCTTTATAAATCAAGGTTAGTAAGTAAATTTATTTTATTTTATTTATTTGATTTCATTTGATTTCTATACCGCCCTACTCCCGAAGGACTCAGGGCGGTGACAGCCAAACAATAAAATACATACATACAAAATTTAAAAAGCAGAATTAAAATCAAATTAAATAGTTTTGGCCCAGACAAATTAAAACCCCAATCAATTTAAAACCAATTTTAAAATTTGAATATATAAAATACTAAAAAATATTAAAAATTAAAAATTCTTTTATAAAAGAGGGAGAAAAATTAGGCCAGGCCTGCCTGGTGAAATAAAAAGGTCTTTAGAGCGCGGTGGAAGGTGTGCAGATCCGGGATCCTCCATATCTCCAGGGGGAGCTCGTTCCAGATAGTAGGTGCCCCCACAGAGAAGGCTCTCCCCCTGGGGGCCGCCAGTCAGCATTGTTTGGCCGACAGCACCCGGAGGAGCCCCTCTCTATGGGAGCGTACCGGCCGGTGGGAGGCTTTTGGTGGTAGTAGGCGGTCCCGCAAGTACCCACTATATAAACAATATAAATACATAAATACATAGATAATATATTTACCTGACAACGGTGGGGAATAATTCAGCAGAAAACAGATAGGTGGTTGAAAAAGAAGCAGCCATAGCAGATTTTCCAATCATGGCTAGAACAGTCACAATCAGAGGGAATTCTGAGGGGGGGAAAAACCAATGAGGTGAGAAAGAACCATCTTGAGAGCTTACAAAGCATTTGAAAACTTCAAACCTGGGGGGTCTAGGTTCACGCAAATCCATGAGTGGGGCTAGGTTGGTTTCTGTGACCCTTTCAGGAGAAAGTTTTAGTCACTTACTGAATTCCTGCACTAATCAGGAAGGCTTAGTCACCCATGAGATGCCACCGAGGAGAAAATATAAAATTGGAAAACATAAATTAAGAGTTTGAGTCAGGACCCGCACTTTTCACTTTTCCTCTGAAAAAGGCTCTAATGCTAGAAAAGATGGAAGGAAAGAGAAAAAGTTACAGCGGTAAAAAAGAGCATCTTTGCAAGACCTGAAGGACTCAGTTGGAAACAGATCTTGGTGGAGGGAGGAAAAAAAAATTGATGTGACTGCTAAGAGCCAAAAATGGCTTTTATGGCACCTAAACAATCTATCCTGCTAAAATTAAATCACCCGCCATTTTTTGAACCCGCCAAGATCACCCTGCTATTTTTGGTTCCCAAATATCTAATGTACCTTTGGGGATCACGCAGATGACGACACACATAATTCCTCCCAGGATGAGCCAAGAGGACTGGCATTTCTTCCTCCCGATCAATTGAAGAAGAAAAATGGAAAGGATGCGAGATGGGATTTCCACAGCTCCAAAGATGAGTTGGGTCAGGTAGATATTCAAGCCGAAATCCCCAACGTGAAGACTCACTTCGTAATATACCAAACTGTCCACAAACCTGAGGAAAGAATCAGAAGATGAGAGGTTCCTCTGAGAAGTTGCATCGGTTTCACGTACATTACATTGAAAATACATCTGCTTTGTGGGGCTTTTTTAAAATGCCTTTTAAAGAAGACTTACCACATCAAAGCCAGGATCAAAGTCATATTCCTCAGGTGCGATTGTCTGAAAAGATCCAAGAGGCATCTACGTGATGCCGTCTTTTCCGGAACCAACTGGAATGACCACAAAATGGAAGGCAGAACATTAGTCAAATTTCATGGTTACTGTCCTGTAAATATATGCCGGCTGCCAAGCTCCCAAATTTTGGTTAGGATGCTGTGGCAGTCCTAAATTTTAAAATTGATTTTAAATTGGTTTGTTTTAATTTACGGCCAAAATATCTAATTATTTTAAATTGTTTTTAAATGTTGTATGTCCTGTTTTTTACTTTGGCTGTTCACCGCCCTGAGTCCTATTTGGAGAAGGGCGGTATAGAAATTGAAACAAATAAATAAAATAATAAATAAATAAATGCAAGTAGTAAGTCACTTTTTCCAGAGTAGTTGTAACTTTGAATAGTCACTATAGAACTATTCCTACAAGTGGAGGAATACCTGTACACTTTTTGGATAAAAATACAGCTTTTGAGACTTGTTTTTGTAAAGTTGGGCAGAAGTTTCAGTCATGACTATATAAAAAGAAGCAGGGAGGACAAAAGCCAGAAGTTTTGTTCAAAAGACCTCTTCAGGGAGAAAAAGAAGTAAAAGACCAAAGAAGGGGGAAAAACTAGAAGTTATAGCATTGGAAAGGAATAATAAAGCCAATTTTAATCTCCTCCTTTAAAGTGTTCTATTCTAAAATGTTCCTCAAAAAGAGCATTAAAATAATTATGCATTTGGTACCCGATTAAGGACATCCTCAGACACGGTTCGTTTGTTGATGAGAGCAGCTTTTCGAATGATGTTTTTTGCTTCGTTTATTCTCTTTTTGGTTATCAGCCATCGAGCAGAGCTTGGAAGGACCCTGCAACAGATAAAAACATAAATAAGAAGTGGAAATGCAGTTGGGAAGGTGAGGAACTGAACAGTTTCCCTTTGAGAACTTGAATAGCAAGAATAGCTGGACACCTTCTTGCAGGTCAATGTTTCTTAATTTTATTAAGAAGCTTGGACTTCAACACACACATATCCCATGCTGGCTGGGGAATTCTGGGAGTTGAAGTCCAGCTCTTTTAAATTGCCAAAATTGAGAAAAGCTAAGTGTGTTAGCAAAAAAAAATCAAACTGACCTGAATCAAAAAAAGTTCAAATCCCAGAGTCAGGTTTTGGATGCCCACAAAAAGCAGAAGATGCAATTCCTTCTAACATTAATGCAGAAGACTTACCAAGCGTAGAAAAATATGAGAAAGGCAGGGCCAGAGGATATTATCTGAAACAGCCTCCAGTCACGGACAAAGTATGCCATGCCAGCTAGAGCCATCTGACCCAGCGCGTTGGCACAATGGATGATGATCAGTGCCTGTGGACGGTAAGATGGGCCAACCCACTCCGAACCTAAAGAGAAATGGAAAACTCTCAAATCTCAATTCACAAAGAAACTTTTCCATCTATTTCATTTTCCATTCAGAAATCCATTGCCATCTATGGACGTTGACTAAATGGCTCATTTTATAGTCTACGATAAAAGTCTGCCATCTCTCATCTCTCATTTTGATGTTTCATAGTTTACCCAAGTCTTAATATACAGAGAACTTCCTGAAATCTTAAAAAAATCAAGTTACGGTAGATTTGTTCAAAAAGCAAAGGCTCTGATCTCTTAGAAGCTGAAGTTTGGGGTTCTAGGACTTACTCAAAGTTGCAACGCCAATGCTGATCCCAGCCAGAGCTGTTCCCACGATGAATCTCAGGGCAATGTAAACATAGAAATGTGATGCCACACTTACAGCCGTGCCGAAGAATCCCATTATGAACAAAGCAACTAGGATGGATATTTGACTTCCAACCCTGGAGAAAACAATGGCATGTGTTACAAGAAGACTCAATTGTAATTCTCAGAATGAAAATACACATTTTTTTTTAAAAAAAAAAATCTGTTGGCTGTTTTTCCTAGAGAAAAGTAAGCTGGGTTTTTTTCCTAGCAAACAAAGCTAGGAAAATAGCATCTTCAAGAAGAGGTCCAAAAGAAGTCAAGATGGCAATCACAAACACAGGTTCAAAGCTCTGTCCTTAATATACAGAAAGTGCTTTGTTCCTATGGATGCGGTCACCACCATCTTGATGGTCAAATGCAGGGCACATTATGTAAAGATGCAGGTCTCCATCACGCTGGGAAAATAGAATAGAACAACAAAGCAACAAAGCAGAATGGACTCATTAAAGTAGTAATGGGTGTATTTTTGAAAAAGCTGAATGACTAGGTGGGAAACGGAAGGTGTAAAAAGAGGCAAGACATGGATTGCAGGCACAGAAGCGATCTTGAACTTTCAGAGCCTCTGTGAACCCCTCTTTGATGCCCAGCATAAACTGCTAAAAAAAAAAAAAACCATCACCCCCTTCCAGCACACAGTTCGTGTGTGAGATATCTTACTTTACCTGTCGCTCAGTGAGCCAAAGATCAGTGATCCAGCCAATAAACCACCCATGAAAATGGATTGAGAGATGTCATTTAAGTATCTTCGGTCACAGACCAGATCAAACTAAAGGGGAGGGGGAAAAAAAAAAGAAAGATAAATTCTGTTTTAGTTAACTTCCTGAATCCCCCGACCCACCGTTCTAGGATAACAGGAAAGCTGCCCCAATTCCATCAATTAGCTTTGAAGGAGCTGATGCAATTCTCAAGATTTCAAAACAGAATTATTTTGCACTTAAAAAGAAGGCAGTGAAGCACATACCTCGGTCACCAGTGTTGGCACGTCCATTGTTGGATACACCCATCCCTGTTCACAGCGCTGGGTGGAATTGAGCCCATATTTTCTAATCGATTCAATATCGAGAACTGCTGGAGTGAATCTAGAACATTGATCAAAAGAATCATCAGGTCTCTTGGGAATAGTCAGACTCAGCTCCTGTTGAAAAGTTAGATTGGGGCTAATTGCCCGGATCCAACTAATATTGCAGTGATGAGGCACATCAATACTAGTAAAGATTTGGCCAAACATGTGAAAAGGGGTTAGAAAACTGGGGATGCAAAGAAGTAACACCAAATATTTCTGAAACGCCCCAAATTCCCCGATCATCTTCAAAGCGTCTCCGAATTCCGTCATGGTGAGTTTCAATGTAGAATTCAACGCACAGCGTTAAATTGAGAGGCTGAAAATAAAATTTAAACAAAATCAGCAATAATAATAAAGCAATAAATAAGAGAAAGAGAGAGCAAGACCGTAAAATGGGTGGAATTCAATTCCATAACTATGAAATTCCAAGTTCCAAGTCATTTTACAGTTGCCAAAATTGAGAAAGGCGGCTTGGTTGTCTGAACCAAGCTCTTTAAATTGCGCGCAGGTTTTTAGCATAGCCGCAAAAGCAGCGTTTTTCAACCTCGGAAAAAATTTAAAGCGAGTGGACTTCAATTCCATGGCTGTAGAATTGTGGGCACCGAAGTCCACTCAAAGTTGCCAGGGTGGAAAAACGCTGCTTTAGCTTGTTGTCTGAATAAGCACCTTTAAATTACGCGCGCAACACCTAACTCAGAGCTAAAGCGACGTTTTTTTTCCCCAAGCCCGGCAACTTTGAAACGAGCGGATTTAAATTCCTCCGCTGTGAAATTCCGAGCGCCGAATTTCGCTCGTTTTAAAGTCGCCGAACGTGAGAAACGCAGCTTTAACTTGTTTGACTAAACTCTTCAAATTAGACGCAACTCCGGGGAGTTGAAGTCCACGTGTCTTAAAGTCGCGGAACTTGAGAAATACCCTTTTAGCTAAGAGCGGCTTGTAATTTAAAGAGCTTCAAATCAAAACAGTGAACCTGTAGCGAAGAGCAAGTTTTAAAACAATTGGGCTTCATATTAGACATGTAAATTGCATGTTTGATAAAATATCTACACAAAAGGAGATTAACCTGGTTTGAAAATTAAGATTAATTTAATTTAAATAATTTAAGAAAGCCCCGTATATCCTTAAATTATCAGAAAACGTAACTGAAAAAAAAAACAAACGGACTCCAGCAAGTTACACAGGAGAAACGAATCCATTTTACTTGTACAAATGAGTGAATAAAAACATTCCTCAGAATGTGCAATAACCCAAAATTTGCATTTCAGTTGACAAAGCAAGATAAGAGAAAAGTCTGTGCAAAAATACAAATATTCTTAAAAGTAACATGTAACATTTATCACAGAAGATGGTTGCAAAGACTGTATATTAGGCAGCATTTTAAAATATGTTTGAAGACATAAAGAGCAAGAGGAATATAAATATTGTTTAAAAATGCTTTTTTAAAAAAAAAAAGAAATTAATCCCCCCCATCTGCAAAACTGAGAAAACATGGAACATTTGTAAAAATGAGAACTAAACTTGATAAAGGCAAAAAAACCCAACAACATGGAAGTCAAGTCATGAAATCACCTTGAAACTATTTTCTCAAAGAAATATCACAAAGAAGCCAGCATTAACTCCCTAAGAAAAATTGCAGCACAAAGCATAAAAGTTTTCTATCATTGCAAAGGTATTACCTGCTTGCTGCTGGAAGAGTTTCATCAAGCGCCCAAAAGTGAAGAGAAAAACCCGCCCCTCCCAGCACTTTTATAGGCTCCAGCAATTAAGTAGCTGCCTCTGATTCACAGTTGCATTCAAACACCTGTGTGCGCAGACTCACCCCCTATGTGCACACACACATGTTGCATTAGCCTAGAGATGAATTTTTTCTAACCTAATGTCTTACCACTGTTAGTTCGTTCTCTCCTGATACCATAATAGAAATAACAGGGGGAAAGAAAGCTATACAACAGAATACTTTTGAGAAGGAGCTAACTTAAAGTTTTGCCAAAACAGTTTTAATTGAAATGGAGTAAGAAGGCAACACACCCTGATTTAAGCCGGTTCTTGAGAAATTAAGATGTTCCACTGCTAATTAAAACAATGTATTGGTTGTACCAAATGCTTTGGTGCTAATTACTTCAGAGAAATACAGATGCCTTTGCGTTGCTAGCAAACCCAATGGAGAAACCCATAACTTCTGAAGGAAGATGCTTTTCAAAATCATGATTTCTGGTTTTTTTCCTCATTCCTAAAAGAAACTCCTATAGAAATGGTCTAATATAGGTAGTCCTTGACCACAACTGAGCCCAGAATTTCTGTGGCTAAGTGAGATGTTGGTTAAGTGAGTTTTGCTCCATTTTACAACTTTTCTTGCCATAGATATTACTGCAGTTGTTGAGTTAGTAACCTGGTTAAGTGAATCTGGCTTCCCCATTGACTTTGCTTGTCAGAAAGTTGCAAAAGGGGATCACATGATCATCATGAATATGAGCCAGTTGCCAAACATCTGAATAACATGACCACGGGGATACTGCAACAGTTGTGTGAAAAATGGCCAAGTCACATTTTTCAGCGCCGTTGTAACATTGAATGGTCACTAAATGAACTGTTGCAAGTGGAAGACTACCTTTATATCTACAGCTGGGATAGTAATGGAAGCTATCTTGGGAATGCAACTATTAGCTCATGCATTTGAAAAAGGAGGAACAGCAGGCCATTTTGGTCAAAATAGACAATATTGTGTTTTTGAAGGCATCTTGGGAGGGTACCTTCACTATTCTGCCTCCTAGACCAGGATAGACAACCAGATGACTGCATTGTCACTAAAAAAACCCCTCCCTTTGTCAACTAGTCACCATAATTAGCTGGGCAAATATTTGAGATACAATTCAGAGTCCATTCGAACACCGGAACAATGGTTCAGAAGGTTGCAAAGCCATAACAGAGTCATCTGGATGAGCTTTTTCACATCCTGGTCTATGTGAAGAAAAATAGAGACCATTTAAATCATTTATTGTGATCAATAGGGATATATTTTGTAGATGGAATTGCTTGTATGCCAATATGGATATCATAACTGGTTCTAAGTCCGACTGATGTAACTTGGAGAACGTCTTGCCAGATACACTGAATATTGTTCCATTTGTACAACTTAAGGGTGCAAGGAAATTCTTGGCAAGACCTGTAGGGCTTCACCTTGGTATATCTCCACATGACATGCTGAAGATGTGACATGAAATGAGAGCGAGTTTGGTGCTGTGGTTAAAGTGCTGGCCTAAAAACCAGGAGAGATTGTGAGTTCTAGTTCTACCATAGGCATAAAAGCTGCCTAGGTGACTTTGGGCTTTAACCACTGAACCAAACTAGACCTTAGTGATTCTACATCTCAAAAGCTTTTGATGTTCTTCTAAACAATCTTGGATGTAATTCAGAAGCACTTTCCATCATGCAACCGGTGCTATTCTTGGGGATCAATTCAAAATGTACTTATACAATACCACTTATGGAAGGATGGACTCAAAAGGACTCCAGCCCAGATGTAGATCTCAGTTGAATCTAATTCATCACCATGTAACCCTGATCCAGTAGCTGGTTGAGAAGTTCTTGGAAACCTCACTATGGTGGATGCACAGTCATAGTAGTGAAAGCTATGGCAATAATATGTTCACGGGGACAACTCGATAAAATTCGATATCCAGACTAAGCAGGAAGCTTGTAAGAGCTCTTTGTAGCTCCTCAGGTTATGAGTTGTCCTTATATTGCCAATGGTGTCCTTCAGGATTCATCTTACATTGTAGATGTCCTACAGGCTAATGATTCACAGATGACCATCAACACAGCTGTATACTTATATTTTTTATTATTGTCAGCCCCCCCCTCAAAAAACACCAAGAAAGACACACAACTTCTGAGCAATTTCCTTTATTGTTCCTCATCCATAGACAGAACTCTTGGTACACTAAAGCAATTGTGCTTGCATCATTAAAGACATGCTCTGAGAACTTGACCTCACAACTGAAGTATCTACACTTTGATGTTTTATGGTCCTACATTCCACTACAATTGTCCATTCAAGATCATTCCCCAACTCATCCTTGTTCATCTGCTGTCTTAAACCGACAGCTACTGATCATTTAAATGACCGCTATTGATTCTTTACTGATCGCTACAGAGAAGTTCCCTGAAGATGGGCTTCAGCAAGAGTCCGAAAGCTCAGGAGACAAAACCTCTGGACACAGTGACCGACCCAGGTTAGATCCTGCAACATTATCCTAGGACAGGTATATTTGCCTTCATTCCTGAGCTACTGATCATATTTAACTTCTCATGGAATGTTTTATGCAGGTTGCCCCATTAGCTTGGGACAACCAATTTTTCTGTATTGTTTTGATATTTTTATCCTAAGATGATTGTCCTCCTTCACCACCAAACCAGCATTTCTTAGCTTCATTTTTGTTGGCATTCACCATCCATTTTTCTTTCTTTCTTTTTTTTATTTGATTTATATCAATTTTTTTTAAAGAAACATTTTTCTCCTAAAGGAAGCTTTATGTAGTAGTAAAATGTTTCGATGTTTTTTGTTATGGGTGACATTCAGACAAAAGAAAATCAAAGAATTCCAGAGATTTGGATGTGACAAACTTGAAGAACAACAACTGAAGAATACGAATGTTTTTTTCCTTTAAAAAAAAACAGAGCCAAAGACAGGGACAGAGAAAGCAAAATGCGGATCTGAAAGGGTGGATAATTTGGATTGGGAACATCTGGGAAGAATGAGCCACATGAAAACTCCTGGTCTCATTTCAGAATGGGAGGTCCTGATCTGCAATTTCCCTAAAAAAAGAAGAAGAAGAAAACTACCTCTGCAATTGCTAATTGCCTATTTGGTTCCATGAGGTGCAGATTTTAAAGGTAAAGTAGAAAGGACCCTTGCCAAAGAACCAGGTTTTATCTCCAAAATAGAAAAAGGGTTTCAGAATTCGAGAGAATTGCTGGATGTCTTGTAATAGATTTACACCTGGTTTGTTTTATTTATTTATTTTCTTCTGCTTTGCATGTTGTTACAGAATTAACCCATGAATGATAAACTACTGTTTAAACTGGTTTCCCTTTTTTTTTTTAAAGCTAACAATTCTAACTAAAAAAAGAACTTTAAATAAAATCACTGAGTTGGCAATTACAGTAAGGATAGATTAATCATTATTAACAAAAGAAATCCCATTGAAAGTAAGTAAGAAGTCCCATTGAAAGTACTCAATGTACACATTATGATAAACCATAGTTTCTTGTTTAAACCAGCAGCGGCTGACTTTATCCATCACTTTATGGCCTGGATCACACTAAGCCATGAACTGTGTTATGTTGTAGCCTAATGTGTGAAAATTTACTCTCTAACCAAGCCCACCAACCTTTACCTGCTCTGCTTACAATACAGAGAAATCTACCATTTTTTTCTCCAATTGTATCCTTGACATGCTGAGTTAATCCATCATTGATTTAGAAATGTGTGGTTGTAATCCTTTCACTAATACAACTGCCTTTATTTGGTTTTGTACATCCATTTTCCACGCTGTCATTGGTTTCCTTGTTCTTCCTAAAAATGAGAAAAGTTAAAAACAGTTAGATTTCATTATACATAATATAAGTAAGTCCTTGACTTACAACAGTTAATTTAGTGACCGTTCAAAGTTACAACAGCATTGAAAAAAGCGACTTATGACCATTTTCCACACAACCACTGTGGCATCCCCATGGTCACGTGTTCAAAATTCAGAAGCATGGCCACTGACTCACATTTATGACGGTTGCAGTATTCTGGGATCCCACGATCCCTTCTTGCAACCTCCTGACAAAGTCAATGCAGAAGCCGGATTCATTTAACAGTTGTTTTGTTAACAACAACTGCAGTGATTCACTTAACAACCATGGCAAGAAAAGTCATAAAATGGGGCAAAACTCACTTAATAAATGTCTCACTTGGCAACAGAAATTTTGAACTCAATTATGGTCATAAGTCAAGGACTACCCATACTTCCACAAAGGAGAAGCTGTGAGGATCTCCTTCAAGTCAAAACCTTCACTCATTTGGGCTCCTTAATGCTCTCTGAGCTTAGCTGTTTTCTTGTAGACGTTTTATTACCCAAACTGATTACATCATCAGTGCTAATAAGGAATGGTGAGGATATTACCTAGTTTGGGCAACGAAATGCCTGCAAGAAAACAACCAAGCCCAGTTAGCACCAAGGAGCCCCACAATCTCAGCCCAGGTTTCTTTCTCCTGGATCAGACAGGCATAAAGCATCAAGCCTTCTACCGCCGAGGGCCTCGCACCGGCCAGTACGCTCCCACAGAGAGCGGCTCCTCCAGGTGCCGTCGGCCAAACAATGTCGACTGGCGGCCCCCAGGGGGAGAGCTTTCTCTGTGAGAGCACCTGCCCTCTGGAACGAGCTCCCCCCGGAGATACGGACGATTCCGGATCTACGTACTTTCCGTTGGGCCCTCAAAATTTTTTTATTCCATCAAGCCAGGCTGGCCTAACTCTCCAATGGTGTAATTTTAATTTTAATTTTAAATGGGGGATTTTAACTGTCGGGCCAAATTGTTTAATATATTTTAAATTGTTTTTAAATTTTGTATTCTATGTTTTTTAACCTATGGCTGTTCACCGCCCTGAGTCCTTCAGGAGAAGGGCGGTATATAAATTTAAATATTAAATTAAATTAAATTAAATTAAAGCAAACACCAGATTTCCCCATGGACCTTGCCTTCGTTTGTGGGTCAGGTCATCTACACAATCGGGCAGTTCCTTGCCAAGTGTCTCCGGAAGAAGGAGAGAAAAGACCCCACCAAGGACAGCTGCACTTCCGAAGACCGCCACAGGCAGTGAGGTGTTGTATTTCCCCAGGAGACCAACCAATGGGGAGATGATTCCAGCTACTCTGGCTGTCATCTGACATACTCCGAGTCCAGACTGCCTGGTATGGAAGCAAAAGAGAGAGTAGATGAAACCAAGGAAAGTGGAAGTGGTTTCATCCAACAGGGTGAATGTTATTTTGCTGGGTTTCCTGAAGATGGCCATTTCCTAGAATTACAGATTAACAGAGTTGGAAGGGACCTTGTAGGTCATCTAGTCCAACCCCCACCCACTCAAGCAGGAGACCCTACACCAGTGATTGCTTATCTTTTTGCCATCGCGTGCCAGGAAGGGGGGGGAGATTCGCGTGTGTGTGTGCCCACACCCATAATTTTATGCGGGCCATTTCAGGCCTCCGGAGGATCTCCGAGCAGGTGGGGAAGGCTGTTTTTGCCCTCCCCAGATGCATAGAGAGGATCTGGATCCAGGTGAGAAAGAAAAACGGGCCTTCCCCACTCACCCCAGGCCCTCCGGAGGCAGGAAACAGCCTGTTTCCCTACTTCTGGTGGGCCCAGAAGGCCCGAAAATCAGCTAGCATGTGCACCAGAGCTACGCGTGCCACAGGTTCGCCATCACAGCCCTACACCATCTCTGACAAATGGCAGTCCAGTCTCTTCTTGAAAGTCTTAAATTCACGAATCTGGTAGCACATTTTCCACTCATTTCATTAAAAGGAGCCGCAGCTCACAAAAACTTCTGCCTTTTAATAAAATAGATATGGAAAAAGTGCTAGCAATAGCAATAGCACTTCTATACCACTTCACAGTGCTTTTACAGCCCTCTCTAAGCGGTTTACAGAGTCAGCCTATGGCCCCCATCTGGGTCCTCATTTTACCTACCTCGGAAGGATGGAAGGCTGAGTAAACCTGGGTTGCTAGTAGCCGCCTCCTGATTTTTGCCACTGTAGACCAACGTGATCAATCATTAGTTTGGTAGAGTGCTTAAGGCACTAGGCCAAAAAGTAGGAGGCCATGAGTTCAAGTCCTGCCTTAGCCATGAAAGCTGGCTGGTGATTTTGAGCCGAGTCCCTCTCTCTCAGCCCAACCCACCTCACAGAGTTGTTGTTGTGGGGAAACTAAGAGGAGGAGGGTGTGTTGGATGTTTTCTCTACCTTGAGTAATTTGTAAAAATATTAAAGGTGGGATACAAAGTAATATAGGTGGTCCTTGACTTGCAACAGTTCATTTAGTGACCGTTCTAAGTTACAACGGCATTGAAAAAAGTGACTTAGGACCGTTTTTTCACACAACCATTGTAGCATCCTCATGGTCACGTAATCAATATTCAGACTCTGAGCAAGCGACTCATATTTATGACGGTTGCAGTGTCCCGGGGTCACGCGATCCCCTTTTGCAACTTTCTGAAGAGAAAAGCCAGATTCACTTAACAACGGTGTTACTAATTTAACACCTGCAGTGCAGTGTGTACTGCACAGTGATAACAACTGTGCCCGGAAAGTTCGTAAAAGGAGGCAAAACTGACTTAACAAATGTCTCACTTAACAACATAAATGTTGGGCTCGACTGCGGTCATAAGTCGAGGACCACCTGTAAAACAGCCAGTGGGAAAACCTTCACAGCAGTGCAATGTTCTGCAGTTTGGACGGATAGCTAAATTCCCCCTACTTTCTCTTCCTACCTCCCTCAACCCTTGAGTAGCTGGTAACTCGTGAGTTACCTAGATTGTGGGAGCAATAAACTGACTTTGTATAAAAAAGAACACCGCTTGGGGGGGGGGCGGAAAGCCCTACTAAGCAGGTATATACAAAAGTATGAAGGCTGTTGCTTAACGCATTGTAAGCCGCCCTGAGTCTCCGGAGAAAGGGCGGCATATAAATCGAACCAATAAATAAATAAATAAATAACTCAAACAGTAGCTGACAACTCCGATTGGGGAGGGAGGGGTCCATGCTGTGAAGCTCAGAGAGGCCCCCCACTCTTCACCCCTACTCAGTTGCCATCACCGGTCAGCTACTCTTCAGATTAAAATCTGGATTAGTGATGATAAAAAAACCCAGTAGGAAAAGTCAAATGATTTGCAGGATCAGGCCCAGAGAGAGGGGAAGGGAGGGAGGTGCCTGTATGTCAGTCAGCAGGTCAAAAAACAGACACTTCAGAGAGCATTCCCTTTATTGTGGTCAGGTATTGTGGCAAAAAGGTGAAAGTCTGTCCCAATTTCTCCCTGGGCCTCTTGAGAGGCAACGGATTTGAAATGGGGGCTGCTGTTGTCCTATTTGGTAGATCAGATAGGAAACTCAAGCCTACAAAGGTTTCATTAACAATATCTTGGAAGCCTGAGAAATAAAATTATGTTTTCTTTATCTGCCTATTCTCTTGGCTGAGAAAAAGCCCTTTTTTCTCAGGGTTGTTCCTGCATACCATTTGAACTTTCTCATGCTTTCAGCTTTACCAGACCCAGTAATTATTTCATCTCTCCTTCCCTTCCCCACTTCATCAAGGTCAGAGATAATTATTCCGCTCTTGAGCAGCCTCAGCTGATCAGTAGCAGCTGGCCAGATTATACCATCGGAATCAAGGTCAGTGAATCACATCATTTGGCACCTGAGCAAAATTGACTTTTCAGTTTTAATCAGAACAGAGCTGGGAGGGACCTTGGAGGTCCTCTAGTCCAGCCCCGTTCAAGCAGGAGACCTTACACCATTTCAGACAAATGGCTGTCCAATCTCTTTTTTAAAACCTCCAGTGATGATCTACCCACAACTTCTGGAGGCAACTTCTATCCCACTGTTTAATTGTCCTCACTGTTAAAAAGTTTTTCCTTAATTCCAGGTTGCTTCTCTCCTTGATTAATTTCCATCCATGTTTTTTGTCCTGCCTTACAGGTGCTTTGGGAAATAAGTTGACCCCCCCCTCTCCTTTGTGGCAGCCCCTCACATATTGAAATGCTGCTATCATGTCACCCCTAATCCTTCTTTTCTCTAGACTAGCCAAACTCAAATCCTGCAACCGTTCTTCATATCTTTTAATCTCTAGGCCTTTTAATCATCCTAGTTGCTCTTCTCTGCACTTTCCCAAAGCCTCAACATATTTTTGTGATGTGATGTGACCAAAGAGCCGAGGTGGTGCAGTGGTTAGAGTGCAGTACTGCAGGTACTTCAGCTGACTGCTAGTTCAGCAGATCAGCAGATCAAATCTCACCGGCTCAAGGTTGACTCAGCCTTCCATCCTTCCGAGGTGGGTAAAATGAGGACCCAGATTGTTAGGGGGCAATATGCTAATGCTAATGCAATATGCTAATATGCAATATGCTATATGCTAACTTTGTAAACCGCTTAGAGAGGGCTGTAAAGCACTATGAAGCGGTATAGAAGTCTAACTAATAAATAAATAAATAAAACTAGATGCTGTATTCCAGGTATAGTTTAAAAAAATATAGCCTCAGGAGGGAAATAATATATTACGTTCATCCTAAAAGATTAAAGACCACCTTAAAGGGGTCTGGGGCAAGATATAAGATGAAGAAATTGGAGCCTTGGTAGCACAGTGGACTAATGGACTGTTATTAACTGTTATTAACATCTGCTGCTTGCAATTACTGCAAGTTCAAATCCCACCAGGCTCAAGGTTGACTGAGCCTTCCATCCTGTCTAAGGTAGGTAAATTGAGGGACCCAGTTTGTGGGGGCAATAAGCTGACTTTGTATAAATATACAAAAGTATGAAGGCTATTGCTTAACACGTTGTAAGCCACCCTGAGTCTCCGGAGAAGGGCGGCATATAAATTAAAGCAAAAAAAAAAAAAAATGTTGCCTGTGTTTTTCTCTGGTCCATGTGAAGAAAGCCCCCAGAACTGAGTTTATTACTGGTGGAAGAAAACTAAATGCATGGAACATAAAGCATGGAATGTAGAATCATAGGGCTGGGAGGGACCTCAGAGGTCTTCTAGTCTAACCCTCTGCTCAAGACAGGAGAGCTTATACTACTCCAGACAATCGGTTGTCCGGCCTCTTTTTGAAAACTTCCAGTGATGAAGCTCCCACAACTTCTGGAGGCAAGCTGTTTCATTGATTAATTCTTCTCATTGTCAGGAAATTTCTCCTTAATTGCAAGTTGGCTCTTTCTTTAACTCATTGCCTTCAGGTGCTTTGGATAACTACTGGAAGGCAGTTATCATTTCACCCCCTAATTCTTCCCTATTCGTCAACTAAGAGGTAGTTTCAAGATCACATGATGTGATAGTACTTAATTATAATGCTTGGGTAAGCATTACCCAAGCATTATAATTAAGCATTATATTACCAAGCATTATACACTGCTCAAAAAACTAAAGGGAACACAAGCAGAAGACATCCGAGATCTGAATGAATGAAATAGCCTTATTAAATACTTCGTTCATTACATACAGTCGTTTTGTGTTCCCTTTAGTTGTTTGAGCAGTGTATAAACGACTGTATGTAACGAACAAAGTATTTAATAAGGCTATTTCATTCATTCAGATCTCGGATGTCTTCTGCTTGTCTTCCCTTTATTTTTTTGAGCAGTATATTACCACACTTGTAATATTGCATTCAGTTTTGATTACCATGATTCAAAAAACATGTTGAGACCCTGAAAAGAGTGCAGAGAAGAGCAACAAAGATGATTGAGGGCTGGAGGCTAAGCCACAGGATGAATAATTAAGGGAACTGAGAATGTCTAACCTAACAAAGAAAAGGCTTAAGGGGTTGACATGATAGCAGTCTTCCAATATCTCAAGGGCTGCCACAAAGAAGAGGGAGTCAAGCTATTCTCCAAAGCACCTGAAGGCAGGACAAGAAACAATGGGTGGAAACTAATCAAGAAGAGAAGCAACCTAGAATTAAGGAGAAATTCCCCGACAAAACAATTAATCAGTGGAGCAATTTGCCTCCAGAAATTGTACGTGCTACAACATTGGAAGTTTTAAAGAAGAGTTTGGACAGCCATTCGTCTGAAATGGTCTCCTGCTCAAGCAAGGGGGGGTGGACTAGAAGATCTCCAAGGCCCCTTCCAACTCTGTTATTCTTTTAGACCTAAGGCATTTTTAAATTTTGCTTGTGGTTGTTTACGTAGCCTCACCGGATAATAGTTGGGAACAGCTCTGCAGAATATACATAGGATGTTGAAAACGATCCTGCCATGGTAAACTTTCCAAAGACAGCCAGCATTGTGATTACCACAGGTAAATCTGGAAAGAAAAACCCGGAGATGAAGAGACAGAAAATCAGAAATAAAAGAGGAGATAACAACAAAATATTCTGAATTTAAGAGGCCCCCTTTTTCATTCTGTATTTACCAGTAGATATGATCCATAGTGATTGGCTACAATTACAGGTAATCCTTGATTTACAACCATTTTTAAAGGGTTCTCTTTTAAGTTACAAAGAGCACTGAAAAAAGTGACTTATGACTGTTTTACAGACTTATGACCATTGCAGGATCTCCATGGTCCCGTGATCAACATTCAGAGGCTTGGCAACTGGCTCATACTTTTTTAAAAAAGTTTATTTAAGTTTTATTAAGTTGCATAGTAATACAATACATGAACTATCGGTTAGACAGTGTTAATATAAATACAGATTGAATACATTCTTAGCTTATTATATCTCATATTTTACTCCCTTATTTAGGTATCTAAGTTGTTCCTTTTCCTTTCTTTATTCTATCTTCCAACTGGCTCGTATTTATGATAGTTTCCCTGTCCCAACGTCATGTGATTATCTTTTGTAACTTTCCCAGTCATCTTTTGACAAGCAAAGTCAATGGGGGAAAGCCAGATTTACTTAACGACTGCACAGCTCGCTTAACAACTACACTGATTTACTTAACAGCTGTGGCAATATATATATATATATATATATATATATATATATATATATATATATGTATGTATGTATGTATGTATGTATGTATGTATGTATGTATATGTATATGTATTGTGTATGTGTATATATATATATATATATTATATATATATATATATATATATATATATATATAATATGTATGTGTATGTGTATGTGTATGTGTATGTGTATGTGTATATGTATATGTATATGTATATGTATATTCTTACTTCTTTGTAGGATTTATGTGTGTTTTTCCTCTAGCCAGGTTTTTCCTATGTAACCAAGGTTTTTCTGCAGCCCTAGCTCAGTAGAATCACATCCACTCGATTCTGGGCTTTTTTCTTTTCTGGCAGCCAGCAAGTCTCTCACCTGGCAGCAGGAACTTGCTGGCTGCCAGAAAAGAAAAAAGCCCAGAATCGAGTGAATGTGATTCTACTGAGCTAGGGATGCAGAAAAACCTTGGTTACATAGGAAAAACCTGGCTAGAGGAAAAACATATATATATAAAATGGGGCGAGACTCACTTAACAACTGTCTCGCTTAACAACAGAAACTTTGGGCTCAGTTTTGGTCGTAAGTCAAGGACTGCCTATATCTCTATTTAACAGTATTTCAGATTTACAAATTAACAGAGTTGGAAAGGTCCTTGGAGGTCATCTAGTCCAACCCCATCCTATCATCCAAGCAGGAGACCCTACACCATTTCTGACCAATGGCAGTCCAATCTCTTCTTGAAAGCCTCCAGTGATGAAGCTCCCACAACTTCTGAAGGCAACTTCTGTTCCATCGGTTAATTGCTCTCACTGTCAGAAATTTTATCATTTTTAGCTTGAATCTCTCCTTGTTCAGTTTCCATCCATTATTCCTTGTCTGGTCTTCAGGTGCTTTGGAAAATAGCTTGACCCCCCCCTCCTCTCTGTGGCAGCCCCTCAAATATTGGAAGACTATTGGAAAAAGTATTGGAAGATCCTGTCTCCCCTGGTCCTTTGGGCTCAGCTATGGTAATCAATCAAACTGGGAATGTGGGAATCCCTGGATGCTCTTAATTGAAAACACACCTTTGGGGACAGCAATGATCAGAAGGGAAAAGGTCCCCCCTAGGAGGAGGCAAAGTGACTGGCACTTCTTCCTTCCCAAACGCTGCATCAGGAAGACGGAAAGGATCCGGGCGGGGATTTCAACCGCCCCGAAGATGACCTGCGTCAGGTAAATATTCAGGCCGAAGCTGCCAACATTCAGGCTTAATCCATAGTAGGCCAAACTATTGACAAACCTAAGAGAAGAAAGGAATGAAAGAAGGAAGGAAGAAGAGGGGGAGGGGGAGGAAAGAGAGAGAGAGAGGAACAAAAGAGAGGAAGGATGGAAGAAATGAGAGGGGAAAGAAAGGGAAGGAAGGAGAAAAAGAAATGAGAAAGAAAAGGAAGGGAGGAGTAATGGAGGGAAGGAGGGGAGAGAGAGAAGAATGAAAGGAACGGTGGAAGAAATGAAGGGGAGGAAGAAAAGAAAAGGAAGGAAGGAAGGAAGGAAGGAGAAATTGTTACCATTAAAAGGAGAATGTACAACATAAAGTTGATAAATGCTACATTTTCTTTTCCTATTCCACAAATCAATGCTATTTTTACAGGGATATATGAAAAACTTGCGGGAGAGGCATTTAAATAATTAAAAACATAGTCCTACACTTACGACTATTCATTTAGCAACTGTTGGAAGTTACGACCATGCTGAAAAAAGGAGACTTATGACTTCTCCTCGCGCCTATGGCTTTTGTAGCATTTCTGTGGTCACTCGATCGCAGTTCAAGCACTTGGCAATTGGCATGTATTTATCACAATTACAATGTCCTTGAGTTATGTGAATGCTGTCTGTAACCATCCCAGCCGGCTTCCAGCAAGAAAAGTCAATAGGGAAAGCCAGATTCATTTAATGACCATGTGATTCACTTTACAATTGCAGCAGAGGTGGGTTTCAGCAGGTTCTGACCAGTTCGGGAGAACCGGTAGTGGAAATTTTGAGTAGTTCGGAGAACCGGTAGTAAAAATTCTGACTGGCCCCGCTCGCATCTATTCTCTGCCTCCCAAGTCCCAGCTGATCGGGAGGAAATGGGGATTTTGCAGTAACCTTCCCTTGGAGTGGGGTGGGAATGGATATTTTACAGTATCCTTCCCCTGCCGTGCCCACCAAGCCATGCCGTGCCCACCAAGCCACGCCCACAGAATCGGTAGTAAAAACTTTTGAAACCCACCACTGGATTACAGTGATTAACTTAACAACTGCGGCAAAAAGTTTGTAAAATCAGGTATCATTCATCAATCACTTCACTTAGCGATAGATGTTCCAGTTTCAATTGTGGTCATAAGCTGAGGACAATTGATATGAATAGGAGGCTTGATAAGCAAATCTCCCTTACTCTTTCTCTCAAATTACTTTCACCTTAAATTTATTTAAATAAAAGAGAATATTTGTAGCTCAGGGTTGAAATGAAGGGTCCTTGCTGCTCTCTGAGCTTGGTTGTTTTTTTTGGTAGACATTTTATTACCTAAATTAAATAACATTATCCCCATTCCTTACTAGCACTGATGGCATTACCTAATTTGAGTAAATTAGGTACCCACCCCTCAAATTTATTTGCTTCTCCTGCCTAAAAACAATGGCAGCTAGAAATGTTGAAACAGAAAAGTTACGCCTGGAAATTCCAGGAATTGGGTAAAGAGAGCTGACTTTGGGGAAAGTAAGAGGGGGAGGCATTAATGAGGGTCTTAGAGACGAGCATCTCTAAATCCTAGGATGATTTTCAGTTTTCAATTATTTCACCCTACAACAATAATATAGTATTTCTGGAATTCTTGCCATGTCCATTTCTTGATTTGGCCAACATCCAAGGGACGTTACCAATCTCTCTGAGATTGTCTCTTCCTCATTTTACATTAAACAAAATCGTGGGATTATTTTGAGTTCGTTTTTCACACTGCCTTCCTGTTTCTGACTGGTGGTGTCTCTTATCCGTGTTTCTTCTTAACAACCCTTTGATACCTTCTCCAAGGTCACTTTTAAATTCTTTTATTGAGTGGGAAATTGGGCATGATTAGCCTCTTTAGATTAACAATTTTTTTTTCCCCAGGAAGGTGAATCTTCTGAATCCCCTTTTTGAGTTGGAAATTGTTATTTTCATCCAAGCGTTTGATTCCATCTAGGAAAGACACAATATACTTACCAGATTAGGGAAATGACCAGGGTCATCTTTGCTAATTGGGAGTTTCTAACGAGATCCAAAATCGTAGAAGAGTTGGATTTCTGTTCAGGTTTTAGCTTTATTAAAAGATGAGAAATTGAAAGAATAAAAGTGAGAAGGAGAATGTCTCTTTTTCATTTTTACTATTCAGGGAATTAGTTTCCCTCTTGTTGAACCACAACTAAGAATAGAATAGAATAACAGAGTTGGAAGGGACCTTGGAGGTCTTCTAGTCCAACCCCTTGCTTAGGCAGGAAACCCTACACCACTTCAGACAAATGGTTCGCCAACATCTTCTTAAAAACTTCCAGTGTTGGAGCATTCACAACTTCTGGAGGCAAGTCGTTCCACTGATTAATCGTTCTCACTGTCAGGAAATTTCTCCTTGGTTCTAGGTTGCTTCTCTCCTTGATTAATTTCCACCCATTGCTTCTTGTCCTGCCTTCGGGTGCTTTGGAGAATAGCTTGACTCCCTCTTCTTTGTGGCAGCCCCTGAGATATTGGAAGACTGCTATCATGTCTCCCTACTCCTTCTTTTCATTAAACTAGACATACCCAATTCCTGCAACCGTTCTTCATATGTTTTAGCCTCCAGTCCCTTAATCATCTTTGTTGCTCTTCTCTGCACTCTTTCTAGAGTCTCAACATCTTTTTCACATCGTGGCGACCAAAACTGGATGCAGTATTCCAAGTGTGGCCTTCCCAAGGCCTTATAAAGTGGTATTAACACTTCACAGGATCTTGATTCTATCCCTCTGTTAATGCAGCCTAGAATTGTGTTGGCTTTTTTGGCAGCTGCTGCACACGGCTGGCTCCTATTTAAATGGTTGTCCACTAGGACTCCAAGATCCCTCTCACAGTTACTACTATTGAGCAAGGTACCACATATACGGTACCTGTGCATATTGTTTTTCTTGCCTAAAGGATAATCCTCGACTTACAGTAGTTCATTTAGCAACCATTCAAAGATACAACAGCACTGAAAAGAGCGACTTATGACCGTTTTTCACACTTATGACCATTGCAACATCCCCATGGTCACGTGATCAAAATTCAGATGCCTGGCAACTGCCTCATATTTATGACGGTTGCAGTGTCCCAGGGTCATGTGATCCCCTTTTGCGGGCCTTCTCAAAAGCAAAGTCAATGGGGAAGCCAGATTCACTTAACAACCATTTTACTAACTTAACAACTGCAGTGATTCACTTAACAACTGGGGCAAGAAAGATCGTAAAATGGGGCAAAATTCACTACATATACATCTGGAGAACCCAGAGTGAGATGGAGCTCATTAAATGGCAGATTTGAATGTGTGTGATTGCCGAAGGGCGGGGTTTATTATTATTTTATTATTATTTATTATTTTTATTTTTGCCTGCATTGTGTTTTTACTGGCTGTAAGCCGCCTAGAATGACTGTGAGCGAGTAGGCAGCTATATAAATTATTTAAATAAATAAAATAAGTGAGAAGCAAAATGTCTTCTTTTTTCTCAAGGGAAAAAATATATCCAACTGCCTTTTAAAAAAGCATCTTTGAGACAAGCAATACCTGCATAACTTAGAATCTTCATAGAAAAAAGAAGGAACTGTAGCCAAAAATTACTGAAGGGCCACCACCAGATCAGGGAAACAGGGAATGTTATGAGTTCCCATCCTTAAGGAGGTCCATCTAGATCAGAGGTCTTCAAACTTGGCAGCTTTAAGACTTGTGGACTTCAACTCCCAGAATTCTCCAGCCCGGCTGGCTGGAGAATTCTGGAGTTGAAGTCCACAAGTCTTAAAGCTGCCAAGTTTGAAGACCTCTGATCTAGTGGGACCAAGAAGAACGGCCTTCTCTGTGGTGGCTCCTTCCGTGTGGAAGAGAGAAGAATGGTCCCCACTTTGACCTTATTCCGAAAGTCCCCCGAAGAGTTTGACCCATAGACTTGGGGACCTCAGGAAGATATAGAGCTCATCAAGTTGTTGGTCTGATTGTTTATGGAGATCCTCAGTCATCCAAGTCATGGTTGTCCCGAAGGTGCATTTTTTTCAAGTGGCAACTGGACTTTCTGGTTTTTCTTTGAAGACATTTCGCTTCTCATTCGAGAAGCTTCTCCAGCTCTGTTGATCTGATTGTTGTCACCAGGGAGGTGAGTTTTGTTCAGGGCTTTTATTTCTGTAAGCCGCCTGGAGTCACCGTGAGTGAGTTGGCTGGCCATATAAAATTTCTTAATCAATCAATCAATACATAAGATATAACGCAGAGGGTGCTTATGCAATGCATGTCTGAGTGGCTTAATAAATAGAAATAGAATCCTAGGGTTGATGGAAACCTTGGAGATCTTCTAGTCCAGGGGTCAGCAACCTGCGGCTCTGGAGCCGCATGTGGCTCTTTCATCCCTCTGCTGCAACTCCCTGTTGCTGGTCAGCTCCACAATTGATAGGGCTTTCGGTTAGAGGAAAAAGGATGCCGTGCTAGGAGGAAACTCTATGGTGGGGGAACTGGACTTCCAGTCGGCTCTAGAATTGAATGGGGGCTTCCGATTAGGACCTTTGCGTCTCTTTGAGTGTTTAAGGTTGCCGACCCCTGTTCTAGTCCAACCCTCTGATGTCTTTATTCTATCATGGACAAATGGTCTTTTCTTAAAACCTTCTCCTCATCTAACAATTTCTTCATCCCCAAGTTGTTCCCAACTACATCTGATTTTTGACTCTTAGCGATCTCTGCAATAACAACTTGACGGGAGCAGAAAACGAAAACTTACCTGCTCTAACAGTTTCGGAGGGATGGTTCGCTTGTTCACAGAAGCTGCTTTCTGGAGTAGCTTTTTAGCTTCCCCTATTTTGCCTTTCATCACAAGCCACCGAGCGGACTCAGGAAGGAGCCTGAAAAATATTGGGACGGCGAGCAAGCAAACAATTTCAAACTTGGAGAGATGGCGCCCCTATCAAATGGCACAAAATATCTCTCAAACCGACCACTCAAGAACCACCAATAGACCTAATTTCATTTTCTGGAGCTAACTTTGGAGAGGGGTTCGAAAGGCTCATGATGGGGTCAACACCAAGAGGCCAACTCTCCTTTTTCTTATGCGCCCACATGCAATGCATGTTAAAAAAAATGGCAGGGCTTGGCTGAGTTTGCTGCCATCTTGAGTTTTTTTTGTTGACACCCCACTTTTTCTTGACCTACCCAAGAGGGCTAGCACAAAAATAATAAATTGCTGTTGTTACTAGTTTCTGGGCTTTTTTTCTTCTGGCAGAAGAGGGTGTGGCTAACTGATGAGGCTTATAAGGCCGAAATAGATCTATCTTAGTCTCCCAATGGGCAGCAAAGGGTCTGCTGGCTGCCAGAAAGAGAAAAAAAGCCCAGAAACTAGTGAATTGTGATTTCACTGAACTAGGGCTGCATAATATCTTGGCTTATGTAGTTAGAACCTGGCTAAAGAGATATACACATAAAACCTATGAAAAAGAAAGAAACACACACACACACACACACACACACACACACTGGTCTACCCCAACATGTGGGAGGGAGCATTCTGCTCCCTTTTGCCTTTCAGCTCCAATCCAGGAGCCCTCAAGCAGTCGTATTCACAACAAACCATTTTATATCAAATTTATATTTTGCTGATAAAGAAATAAAGGAAGACTAGTATAGATCTATTTCAAGCTTTTTAGCTTTCATCAGCTAGCCATACCCTTTCTTGGATTCGAACTTGGGCTCCTGCATGTTAGGCAATTGAATTAACCTTCTGAGCCACAAGTTCTCCTCCCTTCATCAGCAGAATGCCCACTTCCACATGTTGGGGTAGACCAGATGTCTCGGTAAACACTTAATCTTTCCCCCTGGCTCAAGCTTACGGTAGCGGAAATTTTGAGCAGTTTGGAGAACCGGTAGCGAAATGTTGAGTAGTTTGGAGAACTGGTAAATACCACCTCTGGCTGGACCCAGAGTGGAGTGGGAATGGAGATTTTGCAATATCCTTCCCCTGGAGTGGGGTGGGATGGAATGGAGATTTTGCAGTAACCTTCCCCTGCCATGCCCACCAAGTTACGCCCACAGAACCGTAGTAAAAAAAAATGGATATATATTTTACAACCATTTTTGCAGTGATTGTAAAATGAGTTACCATGGTCATTAGGCAAATCATGTAGTCATTAAGCAAACCAAGTGGTCTTTAAGCAAATTCAGCATATCCAATGGGTGCGTTTTTTTTTATTGTTTTCTCTGCTGGAAAAGGGCAAAAAACTTTGCAAATAACAGCTGTAAATCTGTAAACTAGGTGCCTGATATGTAATCATGAGATTGAAGGAGTGGTGTGCAACAATTGTAACTTTGAACATGGGTTGCAACAGTGGTGCGTTGCACCCAGTTCAGTCGGGTTCTTGCGAACTGGTAGTAATGGCGGCGGGAGGCTCCGCCCACCCGGCCGGACGTCATCATGGAGAATCTGTGCATGTGAAGAAGATTCTGTGTGCACACTCGCATTCCCGTTGCAAACTGGTAGCAGAGGTAAGTAGAATCTACCCCTGGGTTGCAAGTAACATTTCTGAATCTGTCATCGCTTCAAACAGTTGTTAAGCGACTGGTCATTAAGCAAGGAGTATCTGTATGTCGACTTACAATGGTTTGTTTAATGACCGTTCAGAGTTACAACAGCACTGAAAAAACTATAACTGTTTTTCACATGACCCTTGCAGCATCCCCATGGTCATGTGATCAAAATTCAGTTGCTTGGCAACTGGCTCATATTTATGACGGTTGCAGTGTCCATCGGTCATTTTTGCCACCTTCTGACAAGCAAAGTCAATGGGGGTAGCCGGATCCGCTTAACAACTGTGTTACTAATTAACAACTGCAGTGATTCACTTAACGACTGTGGCAGGAAAGGTGGTAAAATGGGGTAAAACTCACTTAGCAAATGTCTCACTTAGCGACAGAAATTTGGGGCTCCATTGCAGTCATAAGGACTACCTGTATATAATATTTGCACAATGCTTCTTAGTTACACCGCTTGGAAGATATTTAGCATCACAGTAAAAATCCATTTTTTACATCCAACCAAATCTTAGAAGGAGTTGACACCTGGGGTGCTCTTTGAACCCAGAACTCACCATATGTAGAAAAAGAAAACAAAAATTGGAGCAGAACCAGCAATCTGAAGATGCCGCCAGTCCCGAAGACCGTAAGCTAAGCCCGCCAGGATCATCTGTCCTAATGCAAAAGACACATGACCGGTGATGATGGTATGCGGACGATAGGCAATGCCAACCCACTCAGTGCCTGGAAGGAAAGGTTGAATCAGGGGGGTAAAAAAAGCAGAGGTCAGTTTGCTATTCCCCTTCTGTCTCTTCGCCCGATCCAGTAGCGATGGTGGCAGGTGGTTCGAAGAACCGGTAGCAAAAATCCCTGCCCCCACCCCCTTCTCCCCATGCCCAGCTGAGCCACGCAAATATCAGAGGCTTTTTTTTTTTTTACATTTAAAAGCATTTTTTCTACAACCTCTTTGGTCGAAAAAATGCTTTTAAAAGTTTTTTTTAAAAGCCTCTGATGATTGTGCAGCTGAGCTGGGATCGTCAGAGCCTTTTAAAAGCATTTTTTCTACAACCTCTTTGGCTGAAGAGGTTGTAGAAAAAATGCTTTTAAAAGCCTTTGATGATCCCAGCAGAGTTGCCTGATCGTCAGAGGCTTTTAAAAGCATTTTTTCTACAACCTCTTCGGCCAAAGAGGTTGTAGAAAAAATGCTTTTAAAAGTAAAAAAAAAGAAAAGTTGGCCATGCCCACCCAGTCACATTACCCACCACCAAGCCAAGCCCACAGAACCAGTAGTATCAAATTTTACATTGCACCAGTGGTATAACCAAATCATTAACATCAGCATTATCATCAAAGACAATAGCAGACTTATATATCGCTTCACAGTGCTTTACAGCCCTCTTAAGTGGTTACAGAGTCAGCCTATTGCCCCGAACAATCTTCATTTTACTGACTTCGGAGGGACGGAAGGCTGAATCAACCTTGAGCCGGTCACGATCGAACTGCTGGTAGTCGGCAGAGTCAGCCTGCAATGCTGCATTCTAACCGCTGCGCCATCAGGGCTCTGCAAAAACTACTCTATGTGTGGCTTTTTTAAATAAAACACTGCTTAGCATAATGTGCCAATACCTTTACAATACTTCTGGTGAACAGTGAGTGAGCAGATAGTCAAATGTATATTATTGATTTATTATTTATTAAGCAAATTTATATAGCCACCCAACTCACACTTAAATGATTCCGGGCACCTTAAAACATTTTTAAAAATCCACCATATAATATAAAAAAAACATTAATTCCACCCAGTGATGGGTTTCAATTTTTTTTACTAACAGTTCTGTGGATGTGGCTTGGTGGGCGTGGCAGGGGAAGGATACTGTAAAATCTCCATTCTCTCCGCAATCCAGGGGAAGGTTACTGCAAAATCCCCATTTCCTCCCGATCAGCTGGGACTCGGGAAGCAGAGAATAGATGGGGGTGGGCCAGTCAGAATTTTTAGTACCGGTTCTCCAAACTACTCAAAATTTCCTCTACCGGTTCTCAAGAACTGGTCAGAACCTGCTGAAACCCACCTCTGATTCCACCCCTGTCCCCCTTGGCAGCAACAGTACAATCAAATCAGCCAGATGGTTGATTCCATATCCATTCGCGGAAGGACAAAAGGCTGAATCAAACTTGGTCAGGATAGAACTCCTGGCAGTCAGCCTGCAATACTGCATTCCAACCACTGCGCCACCAGGGCTCTTACAATCGCCGTACGTAAATGCACATCCCAGGGTTAAGTCAAGGTCTTACACAGAGCTGTGCTGCTTATGGTGATTCCAGATAGAGCTGCTCCCAGCAGAAACCGGAGTCCGCAATAGAGGTAAAAACTGGGGGCAAAGGCTACTGCAACTCCCGACACACCTTCGAAGAACAGAGATAACAAGGCAATGGGTCGTCTGCCATACCTGAAGGAATAGAATAGAATAGAATAGAATAACAGAGTTGAAAGGGACCTTGGAGGTCTTCTAGTCCAACCCCCTGCTCAGGCAGGAAACCCTACACCACTTCAGACAAATGGTTGTCCAACCTCTTCTTAAAAATTCCCAGTGTTGGAGCATTTACAACTTCTGGAGGCAAGTTGGTCTACTGATTAATTGTTCTCACTGTCTGGAAATTTCTCCTTAGTTCTAGGTTGCTTCTCTCCTTGATGAGTTTCCACCCATTGCTTCTTGTTCTACCCTCAGGTGCTTTGGAGAATAGTTTGACGGTGGTTTGAAGGTGGTGTTTTGTTCGCCATTACAGGAGGTCCTTCACTTGCAACCAACCGTTCAGCAACTGTTCAAAGTTACAATAGCACTGAAAAAAGTGACTTGCAACACTTTTTGCACAACCATCACATCATCCCTACAGTCACATGATCAAAATTCAGATACTTGGCAACCAGCATGTACTGATAGTCCTCGACTTAAAACCACAACTGAGCCCAACCTTTAGGTTGTTAAGTGAGAAATGTGTTAAGTGAGTCTTGCCCCGATTTATAACTTTTCTTGCCACATTTGTTAAGTGAATCACCGCAGTTGTTGTTAGTAACACGGTTGTTAAGTGAATCTGGTTTCCCCCATTGTCTTTGCTTGTCAGAAGGTCATAAAATGGGATCAGGTGACCCTGGGACACTGCGTCATAAATATGAGTCAGTTGCCAAGCATCCAAATGTAGATCATGTGATCACGGGAATGTTGCAATGGTCATGAGTGTGAAAAATAGTCATAAGTCACTTTTTCCAGTGCCGTTGTAACTTTGAACGGTCACTAAACGAACTGTTGTAAGTTGAGGACTACCTGTATTTACAATGGTTGCGGCGTGGTGGGGTCACTTGGTTGCCTTTTGCAATCTTCCCGGTCAGCCTCCAACAAGCAAGGGAGAAAGCTGGATTTGGTTAACAGCCAGGTGGTGTATCTAATCGCGGTGATTCGTTTAACAACCATGGCAAAAAAAAAAAGGTCATAAAATCAGATCCAACTCACTTAACAACCACTTTGCTTAACTATAGAAATTCTGGTCCCAACTGTAGTCATAAATCGAGGACAGAGGTGGGATTAACATACTGTAGCAACTGGTTCGCCCAGCACCAGAAATGTGAGTGTTTGCCATCCGCACATGCATGCGGCATCACAAAACACAGCAATTCGCTTGTGCGCGCTGTCCAAACATGCGTGGAACGTCAAACAACATGGCAATTCGCATGCCATCCACGCATGCGTGTGGTGCAGGGGTGGGTTCTAAATTTTTTTACTACTGGTTCTGTGGACGTGGCTTATTTTGTGGGTGTGGCTTGGAGGTCATGTGACTAGGTGGGCGTGGCTAGCTGGTCAGTTATTTCTGGAAGGTCCTCGCACTTACGACCAGTCCTCGCACTTACGACTCAACTCATTTGTTTGCTTTTAACACTGATCAGCTGTAGGGCGGCCCTTTGAAGCCCCCCGGGAAGAGTTTAAACAGTTTTTTTCCCTCTAGTCATCAGGTGGGACTCAGGAGGCAGCACTAGATTGGGGGTGGGACCAAATAAAAGGTAAGAATAACGTGGGGGGTGGGGGGGAGGGCGGGAGAATTGGTTCGGTGACGTCATATCATCACCGCTATCGGCTCGGCTGAACCAGACCGAACCAGGAGGAACCCACCACTGGTGTGGTGTCAAAAACACAGCAATATAGAATGGGATTGCACCTGGGTAGGTGGGCGGCCCCACCACCAGCAGGTCACCACTACCGATTTGCCCGAACCGGTCTGAACCAGCTGGTCGAGGATTACTTTTAGAGGGGACTCTTTTATCTAAGCTTAGGACCAGAACCAAAAATGTTTATAGAACTTTCTGAGGGGGTGAAATGCTCTCCAGATACGGACCTTAACACCCCTAGAGAAACCCCCCCAGCCATCAATCAAGATCAACCCTCTGTTCTATCAGTTTGCTTTGTGAATGACAAGAATTCCCAACAGAGTGGATAAAAATCGATGATTTTTTTTTTAAAAAAATAAATTTAAAAAAATCGGATTTTTAAAAATTTAAAACAGATTTGCTTGATTTAAATTGGATTTTTTATTTATTTTTATTAAAATGCTTTTGGAGTAAAAATCTACTTAAAGATAGTTTCCTATTTAAGGTACATTAATTAATTTAGTTTATTCAGCATGAAATGGAGCTTAGTTATGTAGCATGAGGCTGTATATTCCGCAATATTTACATTTTTGGTAAACTCATTCAATGAATACCAGCTCTGCAAGCTGAGATAACCTGCACTGCATTGATGAATTCACACAATTTCACAGTAACCATGAGATAAATCATAAAACGAAGTTCAGGAATATTCCTTTATCCTATTTTTTTGCAAATCTATGTACACTACAAACTGTATGATTGTTTGAAGCAAAAGGCATCTGTACCACCAGGCTCTAAGGGTGAGGATGAAGGGCAAGCAGTAAAAATGAAAGTGAAACCTCCTAAGCAGTTTATAAATATCATATTAAAGAGCACCTGTCATTTCAGATCCATCATGGCAGCGCCTGTTAGTGGGCATCCACTCACCTGCTGCCCGCCATGTCCCTCACCTTTATTGCATCACTTAAAGTGAATGGGACTGTCGGTGAGTCAACAGCAGGTCAGAGGATGCGGGGCAGAGATGACAGTTGCTTTTTAAAAGATAATTTAAAAATTATGATTTAAATCATGATTTAAATTGACTCTTCCGGGTTCTGGTGTGCATGCGGGAGTGCCGGAAACCGGAAGAACAGTTGCCTGGCGAGCAGGCACGTGCCGGGAAGATGATATTCTGGTTTCCAGTGAGCGCATGAGCACCGGACATCTGGTGTTCTGGTTTCTGGCACGCGCATTGCGCGCTCCTGTTTCAGCACTCGGTGCCGAAAAAGTTCGCCAACACTGCTCTAACCTTTTTTGAATACAGGTAGTCCTCGACTTACAACAGTTCACTCAGTGACCGTTTGAAGTTACAACGGCACTGAAAAAAGTGACTTATGACTGTTTTTCACACTTTACAACCATTGCAACATCCCCCTGGTCATGTGATCAAAATTCAGACACGTGACAATTGACTCATATTTATGACGGTTGTACTATCCCGGAGTCACGTGATCCCCTTTTACGACCTCCTGGCAAGCAAAGTCAATGTGGAAGCCAGATTCGCTTAACAACCGTGTCACTAACCTAACAGCTGCAGTGATTCACTTAACAACTTTGCCAAGGAAGGTGATAAAATGGGGCAAGACTTACTTAACAAATGTCTCGCTTAGCAACAGAAATTTGGGGCTCAGTTGTGGTCATAAAGGCTGCCTAGTTTATGGAAGCTTCCCCCTACGATAGTTTACGGAAACTTCCCCCTACGACAGGAGCAGGGGGAACCTTTGCTACCGGTTCACTTGCGCATGTGCGAGATCGCATTTGATGACGTCCAGGCGGGTGGGCGGAGCCTCCCATTACCACTACTACCGGTTTGCCCGAACCGGGGCAAACTGGTAGCAACCCACTGCTGGACAGGAGTTGAACAACTGTTTTTCGAACCAGCCTTTTCTTCTCACCCATAAGTTTCCTTCCACCCATAAGTTGCTATCTTCCATTCTGCATGTTGGAATTGTTTTGATTGTCTTACCAGTCACTCAATGGTCCTAACACCATTGCTCCAACGAGGAGGCCCGACATGAAGATGGACTGGGAGATGTCAATTAAATCCTTTCTATCACATACCAGGGAAAACTTAAAGGAGGAAAGGAAAAAATACTTTAATGAAAAGAAACCATAACTCATTCCATGATCACGGTAGATATTTTAGTGATGGTGCATCATTAGAAGGATCACCAGCAGGAAACAGGAGGGCCTAACCCTGTTACATAGGACTTTAGGCAGACCCCATTTGGAATACAGGTAGTCCTTGATTTACGACCACAATTGAGCCCAAAATTTATGTTAAGTGGTGCAGGAGGACAACTAGGCCACGCCCACCATGCACGCCCACCCAGCAACCGGGCAGAGAACCCCTTGCTAAAATTTTTGAAGCCCATCCCTGGTTTTAGCCTAATCATCTTTGTCCTTTTGGTCCAACCTACTGCTTGAGCACGAGACCATATACTATTCTGGGCTGTCCAATCTCTTCTTCCTTTTGATTCTTTCATTTGTATCTTTGTTAGATCTATAAGAGAGATTCTATTCTAAGATGCAGGGATGAAATGCTCCCGGTTCGGGCGATCCAGTAGCGATGGTGGCAGGTGGTTCGGAGAACCGGTAGCAAAAATCCCAGCGCCCCCCCTCCCCCCATGCCCAGCTGAGCCGCACGATCATCAGAGGCTTTTTTTTTTTTTTTTACTTTTAAAAGCATTTTTTCTACAACCTCTTCCGACGAAAAAATGCTTTTAAAAGTAAAAAAAAAAAAAGCCTCTGATGATCACACGGATCAGCTGGGATCGTCAGAGGCTTTTCAAAGCATTTTTTTCTGCAACCTCTTGGCCGAAGAGGTGGTTAAAAAAATGCTTTGAAAAGTCTCTGACGATCCCAGCTGAGTTGCCTGATCGGCAGAGGCTTTTCAAAGCATTAGAAAAAATGCTTTGAAAAGTTAAAAAAAAAAAAGTTGGCCACGCCTACCCAGTCACATTACCCACCACCACCACCATGCCACGCCCACAGAACCGGTAGAAATAAATTTTACATTTTACCCCTGCTAAGATGGTAACAAGGCGAGAAAGTAAGTTAGCAAACTTTTCTTATCCTGGTGAGCAGTTCAGGTATAGTTCTCCCAAAATAACAGACCTGATCAGCGGTGAAATGCTACCGGTTCGGACCGGTAGGGCTGAACCGGTAGCTATGGCAGCGTGAGGCTCCGCCCACCTGCCCAGTTGTTGTTATTTCCTGGTTTTAACCTGTTTTTTACCCTCTGCACATGTGCAGAGGGTCTGCACACGCATATGATGTGTGCGGGCAGCGCATGCACTTTCAAACTGGTAGAGAAGGTAAGTAGATTTCACCCCTGGCCCTGATGCTTAAGATGGCACAGAGCAGTGGTGGGTTTCAAATTTTTTTACTATCGGTTCTGTGGGTGTGGCTTGGTGGGCGTGGCTTGGTTGGTGTGGCAGGGGAAGGTTACTGCAAAATCCCCATTTCCTCCCAATCAGCTGGACTTGGATGGCAGAGAATAGATGGGGGTGGGGCCAGTCAGAATTTTTGCTATCAGTTCGCCAAACTACTCAAAATTTCCGCTACCGGTTCTCCAGAACTGGTCAGAACCTGCTGAAACCCACCTCTGGCACAGAATCAAGGTCCAGAAAAATTGTACTGAACCAATTCTCAAATCATATCTCATGTGCAGGAGGTTGACTTCCCTCACAGGGTTGTTGTGAGGATGCTGTTAAGACATAGGGAAGTTTAGGTCAGTGGTGGGATTCACCAGTTCGCACCACTTCGGCAGAACCGGTTAAGTTTCTGAGCAATTTGGCAAACAGGTTGTTGGAAGAAATCATTAGGGCACAGCACCAGTTGTTAAATTACTTGAATTACTGGTTTAGGTTGACTGTAGTCAGAACTCCATGGAAAGGATCAAAAAACCATATTAAATTATTAGGTCAGCCGTTTCAAATTGCAAGAGGATAATTGCATTTTTTAATAGGCCGCTATGTTGCAATGCCACCTACTGGTGGAAAGGGAGCAGGGCAGGAGTCATCCAACACTTAACAGATTTAAACAGATTAACAGACCTTGGTGATCATCTAGTAATCCAACCCTCCACCCAAGCAGGAGACCCTACACCGTTTCTGACAGATAAATAAGCAGCAAGCTTGCATCTTCTTGCAGGATCCAATCTGGTTCAGTCAGTAGGACCAGAAGTTTTGTCTTCCGAGCTTTCAGACTCGTGCTGGAGCCCATCTTCAGGTTTCTTAAGTCATTGGGGTCTCCAACCATTTGCTCATGCAAATGGAGCACGTGCAGGTGGGGTCACCCACTGCTCACATGATTGGGGATGCACACGCACATGGCCGCCTGCCACTTCCGCAGCCCAGTTCCCAAAGGCTCGAGGCCTGGTGGTGGGCCACAGCACAGAGATTGGGGAACCCTGTCTCGGGGTGCTTCTGAATTTGAGGAGGACTAGAGTTTTCCCATTGAAAAGTCTAGGTGAAGGTGGAGCAGGGGCTGCCCCAAAGTCTCCTGCAGAAGTGGGATTCAAAAATTTTAGCAACCAGTTCTCTGCCCAGTTGCTGGGGATGTGCGGCCATGGTGGGCATGGCCTACTCGGATTCCTGCACCACAGCAGGGGGGAGACACGTTTTCATCCTCCCAAGCTCCAGAGGCTTTTGTTGAGCCTCCAGGAGGGTGAAAATGGCCTCCTCCTGGCTCCGGAGGCCCATTTCCGGACTTCCAGAACTTCCGGGAGGCCCAATTTTCACCCTCCCAGAGCTACCGCGTGGGCCCTGCACTTCCTGGCATCCAAAATGGGCCGCATGGAAACTCCTGGGAGGGGAGGACCAGGGTGGGCGGGGCCAGCCAGTCCTTGTAACTACCGGTTCGGCGATCCAGATGTAAAATTAGCATCCGGTTTGCCCGAATTGATCCAAATTGGCTGAATCCCACCCCTGGTCTCCTGGCTGGCTTGTGTGCCTAAGGGAGGACTGTCTATGGACATTCTGCCTCTAAGGGAGGACTAGAACTCACAATCGCTGGTTTCTTGTCCAGCACCTTCATCACTGCATCAGACCGGCTCTGCTGATATCATGAGAAGCTATAGTCCAGCAAAGCATAGGACTTTTTACTGTGGTGGCAAGTAGCGTCGGCTACTTCTTCTTCCACCATGAAGTCAGCATTTAAGTCAGAGGATCTCCAAACTTAGCAATTTTAAGACTTGTGGACTTCAACGCCCAAAATTCCTCAGCCACCGAGGCTGATCCACAAGTTTTAAAGTTGTCAAATTTGGAGACTCCCTGGTCTATGTAGGTAGCTATCCAGGTGCCAATGTGACTTTATTTTATTTTTTTAAAATTTGATTTATATGCCGCCCTTCTCCGGAGACTCAGGGCGGCTTACAATGCGTTAAGCAATAGCCTTCACACTTTTGTATATTTTATACAAAGTCAGTTTATTGCCCCCACAAACTGGGTCCTCAATTTACCTACCTTAGAAAGGATGGAAGGCTGAGTCAACCTTGAGCCTGGGAGATTTGAACTTGCAGAAATTGCAGGCAGCTGAATGTTAATAACAGGCTATTAGTCTGCTTCGCCACCAGGCTCCTCGACTTTAGGTTGAATTTCTTGTTTTCTATCATTCTAGGAAGCTGTGAGTCAGCTTGCAGTTAAATGCTGGATTTCATGATTTGTTTCTTCATAGAAGCTACCCGATTTAGGTAGCAAATATTCAGATAGACCCCTTACTAGACACCCCCAGATAGCAGCAAGGGGTTAGATTTTTCTGCATCTCTTTCCTGCCATCTACAGGTCATCTGAATTTTAGTAGCCCAGATGGAGTAGTTCTAAAACCTGGCATCTTTTGAAGGCAGTCAAACTGTATAATGTACTTGTAGCTGATTATCTTAGAATGAATCTTTCCAGACCTCCCTTCTCACTTGCTATCAAGTCTCTAACTGGCAAACTCTCAAACCTACCAACAAACAGGTGTTTTTTTTTAATGTGTCTGATTAACAATTCTTGGCAGTTTAAAAGCTTTCTCATCCATTTTGTGACCTTGAGTTGGCCAAACAAATGCACTACTGTTGCACCTGTTTTGAATCTTTTTCTTATAGTCTAAACTTTTTATCTCTTTAGAAAACTGATACATCCCCTAATATTAATTGCTCTGAAGGGTTTTACTAAACCAAAACATAATGCAGTTCTCAACTTTGACCACTTTAAAATCTCTGGATGCATGCTGGTTGGAGTCGAAGTCCATACACTTTTAAAATGGCCAAGACTTAATATAATACAACTATGCAGGGGAAATGTGAAAACATTAAAAGACCCAGGTCAGATCATTTTTTTAGGCTTCTCCACAGGTCATTAGGAAGGAATCTGGACAGAAGAAGTAGAGTGTTGATGTATCTAGTGAAACCTGATGAAGTTAACAGTGACGAAGTTGGAAGGGACCTTGGAGGTCATCTAGTCCAACCCCCTCTCGCAGGAGACCAGTCCTAGGGATTCGAACCACCGAATTGCCAACTTTTCTGATCGACAAGCTCAGCATCTTAGCCGCTGAGCCACCTATATGAATGGTATATGAATGGAAGTTAAGATCCCTTGGTGCTCTTTGATATTGGTTGTTTTCTTGCAGATGTTTCATTACCAAACTAGCTAACATCATCAGTGCTTTGGGTAATGAAACATCTGCAAGAAAACAACCAAGTTCAGAGGGCCCTTCATTTCAATCCTTAGCTGCAAATATTATCTTTTATTGGATGGAAGTCACTCTGAGATCCAGGTTCTGTAGAACTTCAGGTTCTTAACAGGAATATGTTTAAAGGCAAAAAAAAAAAAAAAAAAAAGTGAAAAAAAAAATAAGCATGATATTTGCAATAGAATTTGTCCCTGGGCAGCTGCCTGCAATGAATAAGGAAACTAAAATTCTTCCCACTTACAAGTAGTCCTTTGAAGACTAGATATGTCTTTAAATGGTGTGATACGTTCATTGGACTTTCAAAATAACTAACGATTGGTGCAACTGATCAATACAACGTGATCTGTGTATCTCTTCTAACAAAAACAAGGCTGCAAACTGTTTTTGTTAGAAGAGATATACAGATCACATTGTATTGATCATTGCACCAATCGTTAGTTATTTTGAAAGTCCAATGAACGTATCACAAGTGGCCGTTTAAAGACATATCTAGTCTTCAAAGGACTACTTGTAAGTGGGAAGAATTTTAGTTTCCTTATTCATTGCAGGCAGCTGCCCAGGGACAAATTCTATTGCAAATATCATGCTTATTTTTTTTTTCACATTTTTTTTTTTTTGCCTTTAAACTCCTGGGACACTCTCCCAGTTTTATACAAAAACCAAACATTTAATTCAGGAAGAAAATGAGATTCCCAAACCTGGGTAACCAGAGAAGGTTTTGGCTTGGAAGGATAAACCCATCCATCTTGGCACTTCTCTGTTGAATTCAATCCAGAGTGCAGGATAGTCTCTAAGCTGGTTTCCACAGGAGTATACATGAGACATTGTTCTAAGGTCCCGTCGGGATTTCGGGGAATGGTTAAATTCAGCTTCTCCTCTTCGGTCAAGTTCAAGTGGATTGTGTCCAGCCAAGTAGTGTTGCAATGATGAGACACTGGAATGACCATGAATAATTGGCTGAACATATGAAAACCAGCGAAGGGTGAGGCTACAGTGATCATCAGAACCAGCCAATGCTGGAATCGGCCAAAATCATTAAGAGCTTTGATAATTTCCCCAATATCGGTCATGGCTGTTTTCGTTCTGCCTTTCTCTCTGCTACTAGCTATCCTCTAGCTAATCTGGCTAGCCAAATAGCCCTCTGGATTTCAACAGCCTCTGGAATTAATGGTTAAACTCAGAATAAACTTTGACATGGCACTCAGTGAGGTTCAGGAACTGTCTTCATTGAGCTCTTTGCTCATAGTCTTAATACATGACTTGTTACACTTTTACAACCCCCAAAGATTAAAGTGTAAAAGATTAATTGCCAACTTTGCAGCTTGGACAGCCAACGAGAGCAAAGCTCATAAGGACCCATCAAAAATGAAGTGTGTTGGAAAACATTGACAGCCTCAGAGGTGTCAAGTCTCACTTTCAGAAATGTTAATTAGATTATTTATTTGAAGACAGAGATTTACTTTTCAACAGCGGTGAACATTTTAATTTTTTAAGACTGAAGAATTTGATCAAGGAAATCAGAGGAGTGGGTGATGGGATTTTTTTGGGAGGGGATAATATAATTGATGATGTAATATAATTGATGGCATACTAATCTGGGACAATTTATATGGTCACAGGGTTCACACATCAATTATAAATCATGTGATAGGAATCTTAAAGCCTATCTGCAAAAACATGCTAGCTCTCTGGGTAAGTAGAAGAGGACAGCCAGGATCAAGAGGGGTGGATCAATTACAAAAGCAATTGGTGCACCATTGAAATACCTGAAGAATCAGGTTGGCAACAGAGCATACTGGAGAAGTTATAACTAGAATTAAAAAACAACAACCCAGAATAACAGGATTAGAGGCCTGCTAGTTCAACCTCCTGAACAAGCAGGAGACTCTATACCATTTTGGACAAATGGCTGTCCAATCTCTTCTTAAAAGCCTTCAGTGTTGAAGCACCCACCACTCCCGGAGACCAGTCATTCTACTGATTAATTGTTCTCACTGTCAGGAAATTTTAGTTCTAGATTGCTTCTCTCCTTGATTAGTTTCTATCCCTTGCTGCTTCTCCTGCCTTCAGGTGCTTTGGGGAATAGCTTGACTCCCTCTTCTTTGAGACAGGCTCTTAGATATTGGAATACTGCTATTATGTCACCCCTAGTCCTTCTTTTCACTAGACTAGACATGGATATGTCGCTAGGGTGAACACCAACTTGATGATGGTCAATCAGTCAATCAATCTACTCATGTGACGATCCTGCTTTCTGGAGAAGTCTATAATACTGGGAAAGAAAACGGGTGTGACTTATGTTACAATGTCAATGGGTGTGCCCACTGAAGAACTGAAGGACCAGGGGAGCTTCATTATGGAGAAAGTGTGACTCTTAGAAGAGTTAACACCAACTTGATGGCACATAATCAATAAACCAACCAATCAGTGCAAACACCTGGTGGAGTCTGTGATACTGCAATAGGTAGAAGGAAGAAAGAAAGGGACAATCGGCAGCAAAGTGGAAGGATTCAGTTATATATGTGATGGTTGCACTGTTGGAAGACTTCAATCTTAAAGGTTAGGGGACACATTGGAGAAGACACATTGATCACTCAATCCAGTGGTGAAATGTAAAATTTGTTGCTACCAGTTCTGTGGGCATGGCTTGGGGGGTAATGTGACTGGGTGGGTGTGGCCAACTTTTAAAAAAAAAACTTTTAAAAGTTTTTTTAAAATTTAAAAAAGTTTACCTATTCACTTTTCGGGTGAATTGGTTGTAAAAAATGCTTTTAAAAGGTTAAAAAAAAAAAGGCTCCAACGATCACAGCTGTGGTGTGCGATCGTCAGAGCCTTTTTAAAACTTTTTAAAAGCAGGAAGTAACGACACCTCGGTGAGTGGGCAGAGCCTCGCGCCGCCATCGCTACTGGTTCTTGGAACCACCTGACACAATAGCTACCGGATCGCCCGATCCAGTCCGAACCGGAAGCATTTCACCAGACTTAATCCATCAATCCTGTCTGAACCATGATTTGCTAATTTTCAGCAAGATCTAAGAACAAATTTCCATGTCATATTCTGTCCCTCGCTTGATTGCTATTTTCAGCTTATTTACCTTAGACTTGGGTGTTGAGACTTAGGACACAGTTAGCTGAGGTTAATGAGTTGCAAATCCTCTAGAAAGGCTTGCAAAGTGGTCTCTCCCCAGTCCTAGATATTGTGAGCATCCATCCTCCTTCAATCCATGCTATCTACTGCATTGTTTCTCAACCTTGGCCGGTCAATGATGTGTGGACTTCAATACTTGAAGTCCACACACCTTCGAGCGGCCAAGATTGAAAAACATCTATTGAATTGGGAAATATGGGGAAGGATAGTGTGATTGGTGCCATTCCTCCAACCTACATTCCTGATGGGTCAGCCTCTTTGGTTGCAGGGATGATCTGCTGTGAGGTAACTATTTTGGATCAATGCAACTGAGTTACTGAGGTCAGGTAATTGATTATGTACAATTCAAAGTGCTATTTTTGTGGAAAATAGAGTATATATAGTAGTCCTTGATTTACGACCACAATTAAGCCCAATTAAGGTCTCAAAAGCCCAATTAAGGTCTCAAAAGGAGATCATGTGACCCTGGGATATTGCAACCAACACAAGTACATGCCAATTGCAAAGCATCTAAAGTTTGGTAGTGTGACAATGGGAATGCTGCAACAGTTGTAAGTATGAAAAACTACTGTATGTCACTTTTTTCAGTGTCATTGTAACCTCGAACAGTTGCTAAAAGAATGGCTGTAAGTTGAGAGCTACTTTTGAATGGTTCCTGCTTGGCAGAAACAGGCAATTAAAAAGTTTTAAATATTCTGATTTTAACCAATGCCGTATTTACTAGAACAGCAGCACTTTTAGACAAAGAAATACAATTTACAGTAGCTATTTATAATAAGATGCCACGTTGTCTACTTCCCATGTGAGTGTGCGCTGTGTGGTAAATTACTCGCGATATCTGCAGAAAAAGGACAACAGAACTTCAACACAAACCAACTCTCAAAAATAATGGACAAGGTTTTTTTATTGGTTAAAAATTAGAGAAATGACATGCAATAAAATACAAAGTCAAAGAGAAAAAAAGGCCGAATATTTTACATCTTTTGTTAAAATCTACAGTACACCAAATTGTGTAGAGGTTCCTTTTATATTAATACACCACCCTCCTCAAGGCTATTAACTAAGTTTAAAAAAATACAAACCGATTTCTAGGTTCAAGTTCAGAATTTACCCAAAATAAAAACCCTCTGATCCATGAGGGCATAAAGGTTAGAAATAATTTCTAAACTACCAAACAACAACAACAAAAATCATTGGCACTTTTGAACCTCAAGAATAAAATAGTTGTCTAGCATTTCTAGTATCCAAAGAGGGGGGGAAAGAAAAAAAAAAGGAAATACTATTAATTATTAAGAGACAATTGGCCTAGAAATCTAGTAGCAAAGAAGTTCTGGATCACTAAAAGAATCATTATTATAATAATACATGGGAACAGTCATTAGGGATGCTCGTCTGCTAGACCTGGATTAGACAGAGGCAGGAATGAAGGAATGAATAAATAAATAGATAGATACTGCATCAAGATATAGCGGATTCAAAGGTACACACAGCATGCAGGCCAAATGATTTAATACTGTACCAGAATTATTTGGTCTCTGTAGCTGAAGATGGGATGAAATAAAATGGATGGCTACATTTTTCCTCACGCTGCTCATCTGCCATCTTGGGGTACCCCGATTCGGGGCCACCCCCCCATTTCAGCAAGAGATCCTCTTTCCACATGATCATACCTGGGCATGGATATTGGGACTAGGGCTGTGCAATGTAGTGACAATAACATCACTGGCTCCAAATAATTTCTGGCCAACCAGAAGCAGAAGTTTGGGGAGACCATCGTCTCGTGGAGCCTCCGAGAGCCGCTTCCCTCATCCAAGTGAGGTCTATCCCAAACAGTTGACCAAGATTGGTTGACTTCTGCCCCTCCTGAAGGGTTTTAAATTGAGAAAATGACCTCCAGGGTTCATTCAAGAATATACCGTAGCTTGCTTGCTCATAAGCCACCAAGCACGAAGGTGGGAAAATTTGGAAGTTTTGGGAGGTCACACATAAGACACACACACACAGAGAGACACAGTAACACAGCCAAGCAGTCGTTATTTTTTCCAACCTCCACCCCTTCCCACCCCATGACTGCTGTCTAAAACATTTCTCATTTTCAAATCTTTTTCTTCAATAGATGTCCACATCTGGAGCAGTTCTGCTAATGACCTACAAGCAGATCTAGCCAAAACAAAAATTAGAGGTGAACAATAAATACATTAAGCAATAAAGGAAATCGAGCTTTCATTGCTGCTTGGAGAGGAAAATTTATTGCATCAGAAGGCTTGAGAATCCCAACCTCCACGTTTTCCACTCACCCTGAGAGAACAAGTGTGGGGCGCTAACTTCAACCCTCTCAGGGGATTCAATGTGGACACAAATGAGTATAACAGCTCCCTTCCCACTCTTCCACAACATGTTGTGAGGATATTTATTACTGTCCTTAACCTGAGTTAGAAACCAGGTTTGGAAGCTTAAGTGTCACGGTGGTTCAATCATGGTAACTGAAACGAGGAAGAGGAGGAGTGGCTATAAAAAACAGTTCATAATCACTTCACTGGGGCCCACACCCTACCTAGTGAAACGCTACACCCAGGGATGAGACTTAATTCCATTGGTATGCTACGCAAATTAATATTAAGGCAAAAACAATGTGGATGTACAAAACACTTCAAAGCTAAGCAGTGATACACAAAAGCTGGAGGGGACGAATGGCTGCTATAGGATGGCGAGAAAAATCCATTAGCGTTTTATTGTTCACATAGTGCATTATAAATGTTTCTTTTTTCCCCACACTAAATATATAATTTATAGGTTAAAAATCCAAAACAATGGAAAGAAAAAAAAACACCCCCAGATACTAATAATGTCTTAAAAAACAAACAAACACTAAATAAAGAGTTATAGTGGCTTCAGTTACCCTAATGTTGACCAAACTTTTGATATGTGAGAAGAGTATTAAAAAAAAAAACCCTTACTATTGGCAGATTCCAAGGAGTTCAGCAAAGAGACAAAATTGCTCCAAGCATTGATTTGCCAGGTAGGTCTTTAACTGGCAATTTCATTTATTGCTGTAAAAACTGAACGGGGACAGTTTCATATGTACCAGTCTATGAAGGAAGAACATAAGAAAGGTAAAAGGATTTTTAATGAAATGGGTGTGGGGGTTTTTTGGAGATTAAAATGGGAATCGGGAAACCACCTGCAGTGGCCCAGTGTAGAAAGACTCAGGTTTACAGCCCTTCTAATGGCCAGTCCATACGATCAATTTCTGCTCCATCCACACGCAAAGGACATCTGGTTTTACGAATGGTTACAGTGAACCACACCTGGTGGGCTTTAACTACTCCTAGCAACTTGTGAGACAATCTCAATAGCCTACTTACACAGGAATCCCTTCACCAAAAACCAATTGCAGAGACAACCGCAAGGACGAGAAAATTATGTAGACCAGGAGTCCCCAAACTTGGCAACTTTAAGACTGGTGGACTTCAACTCCCAGCATAGCTGGCTGGAGAATTCTGTGAACTGAAGTCCACCGGTCTTAAAGTTGCCAAGTTTGAAGACATCTGATGTAGACTGACAGAGATACTTCCACAAGATGTCGGTATAAGGTCAGCTGCACCCTGAATCTTCTGCAGAACCTCTGAGGATGTCAGAACCTCAGATTTCCTGAGGATTCATCATCAGATTGCAACGGTTTTAAGGAAGCCGGAAATTACTTCAGGGTTATGGGTGGGATTTCTCTTGGTGGAAAACAAGAGAAAATTGTTTTCCACCAAAGGATTTTTGAGGGATATTTGCGGGAGAGTGGAAGCCCAACAACCAAATGATAAAACTTGAAAGACTGAAATTTCATTTTCTGAGAAAAGTTCCATGTTCAGGAATATTTGTCTGGCTGTGCCACTCTCCATTTTTGTCCAGATAAGCAACTGAGCATAAGCAACTTCCAGAATGAAATTAAGAGAGTGATGATGAAACGTACACAATATAGATATTTGGAATGGGACATCTTCTAGTTCCTATGCTGCAAAATCCTCTCTTCGGCCTGATGGGTGGCCAGTTTCTATGTATGGTCTCTGCCTCTTGCACCAGAATTGCTCCTGTCTATCCATCCTGCAATTGTCAAAGCTGCTTAGATTATGATGAACAGAATACTTTTGGCACCAGGTGTTTCAACCATTGTGTCTGTATATTGGAAGTCTACAAGCACAGGGTGAGTGAGACAGCCAATTGAGGATGGAGGAAACACAGCTACACAGAAACATGATGTTTCTTCACCGATAACGTGTTTGCAAATAGAAGGGGAAAAATTAAGGCTAGTTTTATCTCAGGCCAAGCAATTCCTTCTGCGCCCTGAATATAGAAAAAGTTGCTTAAACCAAGGGATTTCACTTATTCAAGACTTCACTCAGTTTTCCACAGTAAATTCAACCTGTATTCTGACACTCCACAACAGCTTCCGTTATTTTTTTGTTTTGTTTTGTTTTTTTAAGATACCTGTCCAGTTAGACGGACCACAAATCAAAATGTCTTTACTGTTTAACCAGTCAGGCAAAAATGATCCAACCCATCACATCAAGACAATTATTAAGAGCAGCGAAATCCTTCTTTCGTACTCAGTAGTAATGTTTCTATTTCTGTTTAGTTTTTAAATAGTTAAGGCAGACATTCCCAACCAGATGTCCTCTGGTATATATCCCAACAACCCCTGGAATTCCCAGCCCTCTTGGCTATAAAGCCAAGATTTGTAGGCACAGCCTAATTGGTGGGCACTCAGTTGGGGAAGGCTGAGTTAAGGCAATAATAAGTACAAGCATGCAGGGGAAGGTAGGTAGGTAGGTAGGTAGGTAGCGGAGCGAGAGAGGGAGAAAGGGAAGAAGGGAAGGAAGGAAGGACAGAAGGAAGGAAAGAAGAGGAGGGAGGGAGGGAGGAAAGAAGGAAGGAAGGAAGGAAAGAAGGAGAGGAGTGAGAGAGGGAGGAAGGGAAGGGGAGAAGGGAAGGAAAGAAGGACAGAAAGAACGAAAGAAGAAAAGGGAGGGAGGGCGGGAGGGAGGGAGGAAGGAAGGAGAGGAGTAAGAGAGGGAGGGAGGAAGGAAGGGAAGGAAAGAAGGGAGGGAAGGAAGGAAGGACAGAAAGAAGGAAAGAAGAAAAGGAAGGGAGGGAAAGGAGGGAGGATGGGAAGGAGGGAGGGAGGGGTAAAACTGAGAGGCAGGAAATGCAAAAAAAGTGGGCGGGTGGAACAGAAGCCAAATGCCTCCAAGGCAGTAGTGTTGTAAACCTCCTTGATGCTACTTGGGAACAAATGAAGTTAAAGCTTCTAAGAACAAGGGCCTGTAGTTTTGATTTCTTTGGCAGGAGTGGTTTTGCTTTTTTGGCCAACAGAAGTATTTCGTACGTTGCACCTATGGGTTGCGACCATAAGCAGGGAGTGTTGTTTTAGTTGATGCTGAGCTGAGCAAATCCAATAAGTTTGCCATCATCGGGGATTTCGGATGCTTCCACGCCTGATGCCTGAAAGGCAAGGAGATGGAATCCATTATTTTACCAGGATATTTAAAGGACAGAGAGAATGGCCTTGAGGGACAGGAGAGAAAGCTACGATCAAGACCAGAGTCAGGTGAAAAAGAGAAAATGAGTCCAGATCAGGAATGTAAACTAAGAAAATCTCTCTGACAAAATCTTGCCTAGTTCTCACAAAGATAAAGGGAGGGATGACACACATTGAGGTTTGCAAGACTGCATAACTACAGGTATTCCTCAACTTATGATCACAATTTGAGCCCAAAATTTCTGTGGCTAAGTGAGACACTTGCCATAGTTGTTAAGTGAATCACTGCAATAGTTAAGTTAGTAACACAATTGTTAAATGAACCTGGTTTCCCCATTGACTTTGATTGTAAGGTCTCAAAAGGGGATCACATGACCCTGGGACACTGCAACTGTCATAGATACATGTCAGTTGCCAAGCATCCAAATTTTGATCACATGACCATGGGAATGCCGCAATGGTTGTTAAGTGTGAAAAACAGCCATAAGTCACTTTTTAAAAATACCATTGTAACTTCAAACTGTCACTAAACAAACTGTCCAGGACTTGCTTTAAGATAAAAGTAGCACAGATTCACGTGACTTTGCAATCCTGACAGGGCTGACACAGTGAGATAATGGAAATACAAATGAAGAATCCCCAGGTTTTGTAGTAAGTGAAAAATTGCACTCGGGCTGTGATGTTTGTCTCCATTAAAGTGGATATTCTGGGTAACCTTCTAAAGAATGAACTGTCTTATGAGTTGGGGAACGACTTCCTTCGCGAGTCTTTGCTTCAAAGATCCTGATGAAATTCTGATTTTTTTTTTAGGTGGAAGTATGTCCGCACTCCCCTAAGACTCAGACTTATCATTAACATTTTCTAGTCTTCAGAACATCTTCCCAAGCAGCTCAAACATACTCTTTTACCCTGAACAATGAATCTAGAGGAGCAGGCAGAGCTGGTGGGAGGAGTTAAGCAAGTCATCAGCTTAGAATCGTTTATGTTGCCACATACAGTCTAAGTCCAACTTGAATTTAGTTGACCCTTCTCTGCGCCAGTTTAGTTCTGAACTTCAATTGAGTAGATTCTTGTGTATAAGCTTGACTAATAAATTCTTTCTGAACTGCGACTTAATGTATGGTCCGGATCCTTTGTGCTTGACGTTCATCTTGAATTATTTGAGTAGATTAATAAAGGAGAATATTTGTAACTCAGGGTTGACATGAGGGGTCCTTGATGTTCCCTGAGCTTGGATGTTTTCTTGCGGATGTTTCATTACCCAAACTAAGTAACATTATCAGTGCTAGGGAGGTTAGCACTGACATAGCACTAGTGATGCTGCAAGAAATCACATCTGCAAGAAAACAACCAAGCTCAGAGAGCACCAAGGACTAAATTAAAGTCAGACGCAAAGGACCATGACCAATTTACCATAGGGTAAATTGCAGTCCAAAGATTTAACACTCAGGAATCTGATCAACTAAAGATCAGTATTAAATAGGTGACAGCTAAGGTCAACAAATTTCAAGAAGGATTGCATTTGTGGTGATGTAACTGTCAAGCACAGGAAAATCAGGAAGTCCAGACAGTTCAAATGAATACAGTTTTATTGTATGCTAATGCTGTCTTCAAGAAACTGAACTATTAACAATCAAAGTAAATTGGCAGTAGATAAGAGCTAACAGAATTCAAGGTGGGCTCGACTTAGATCTCTAATGGGCACAAAGGGACTCAGGACTGATGATGTTTGACTCCTCCCTCGGGCTGAGCCTGGTCATCTCCTACAGTAACGACTCTAAGCTGATGATGTGCTGAACTTTGTCTCTGCTTGCTCTTCTCCTTAAACAAAAATCTTTGTTGACCAGCGAAATCTTAAATGAAGATGTCGATTTCGGTTTGCTGTGGATTTTGCACAGCTGCTTTAGTGCATTAAGTCTGTTTCCTAATTAAACCCAGTTCAAATGCTTCTGACCAATCCTCATTCCTTTTTCATTCCTCACACACCCATCCTTCCAGGATGTCTCTTGTAGTCGTAGCCTTGTAGTTGTGGCTGCCATGGTGGTTGCTGAGTGCCTGAACATGATCACAGGAGTCACATGACTGAAATTTGTAACCTTTCCTGCCAGCTTCCATTAAGCAAAATCAATGGGGAAGTCCCAAGTCATGGTCACATGAGACCCTCACTTAATGACAACTGGGATTATTTAACTGTCATCATTAAGTAGCGCAGTCACGTGACATTGCACTTAATGACATCATCACTTAGTGATGGAGCTTCTGGTCCCAAGTGTGGGCGTTAAGTGAGGACTACCTATAGCACACTTCAGAAGAAGCCAGCAATTTCCTTTAGTCCGTCAGTGGTGGTTAGCTAGAAAAGACTTAGCACAGCAATATTAGAGGGGCTAATATTTATTAACTCTGCTTTTTTTTAAAGGTCTACAGGGGTCTTAAGCAGACAACTACTTAAATAGGAGCCAGCAGTGTGCTGCAGCTGCCAAAAAAAGCCAAGGCAGTCCTAGGCTGCATTAACAGAGGGATAGAATCAAGATCACGTGAAGTATTAGCAACACTTTATAATGCCTTGGTAAGACCACACTTGGAATATTGCATCCAGTTTTGGTCACCATGATATAAAACAGATGTTGGAGACTCTAGAAAGACTGCAGAGAAGAGAAACAAAGATGATTAGGGGACTGGAGTCTAAAACATACGAACAGCGATTGCAGGAATTGGGTATGCTTGCATAGCTTAATGAAAAGAAGGACTAGGGGAGACACGAGAGCAGACTCGAGGGGCTGCCACAGAGAAAAGGGAAGCAACCTATTCTCCAAAACCCTTGAAGGCAGGACAAGAAGTAATGGAAGGAAACCAATCAAAGAGAAAAGCAACCCAGACTAAGGAGAAATTTCCTGTTGTTTCCACAAGTTGTGGGTATTCCATTACTGGAAGTTTTCAAGGAGAGATTGGACAGCCACCTGTCCATAATGATGCAGGGTCTCCTGTTCTGAGCAGGAGACTGGACTAGAAGACCTCCAAAGTCCCTTCCAACTCTGTTATTCTGTCTTCTCCATCTTGGGCACTATCCAGATCTGTGGACTTCAGCAAACTGAATCCCCAGCAGTAACAATGGTGGTTGAAATATCCTAGGGCATGAAGTCCACAAATCTAAAATGCATCCAATAAAGGAAAGCGGATCTACATTTACAAAGCTAGAAACAATAACCAGCTCAACAAAAAGATATAAAAACATGTCTGGCATTCAACTAAATCCAAGCACATTTGATATCCGGAAATAAACCAGCTTTAATCCAGTGCTTAATATTTGCAGAGGACAAACATTTTTTGTTGAGCTGAATAAACGTAGCCCTTGCCCAAAAGAGGCTGAGAGCAGAAGCAACTTTTTAGAAAGATTTGAATAGTAAGGGGAAAAAATATAAATACCAGCTTGAAAGTGAGCGATCGGGTCGTCTGAGGATCTTCCACAATTTTTTGCAAGTTCGCAGCAACTGAAACAATAGGGAAGATACAGTATTGGGCATCTAAGATTTATGAACAAATTTCCCTCCAGCACTAGCCAAGAATATACAGGCAAAAGGAAGGTCAGCTTGTCCTGCTGTGTATGCAAGCAAAATAAAGCAACAGAAACTGGCACAGGGCTGAAAATATAAGTGAATTTTTTTCAGTAAGGCTTGCATTACCTATGACTAAATCTCTGCCATCCACAAGTCCAGCCGAGATGAGCTCTTGCGATACTCCATCTGCAGTGTCTGGAAAGACCATAATTAAGAAATAGTCTTTGTTTTATACACAGATCAATCATCTAGATGCTATCTTTAATTTCAGCATTTATGCACTGGAGGTATCTGATTCTATCTATTTTTGTTGTTGTTGTTGTTGTTTTACAGGTAGTCCTCGATTTACAACCATTAATTTAGTGACTGTTCGAAGTTATAATGGCATTGAAAAAAGGGACATCTAACCAGTCTTCACACGTATGACCGATGCAGCATCCCCATGGTCATGTGATCAAAATTCAGATGCTTGGCAACTGGCATGTATTTATGACGGTTGCACTGTCCCAGGGTCATGTGATCACCTTTTGTGACCTTCCCAGCTGGCTTCCAACAAGCAAAGTCAGTGGGGGGAGCCAGATTAGATTAACGATTGCATGATTCACTTAACAACAGCGGTGATTTGCTTAACAACTGTAGCAAAAAAGGTCATAAAATGGGGCAAGACTCACTTAACAATTGCCTTGCTTAGCAACATAAATTTTCGGTTCAATTATGGTTGTCAAGGTCCTTGTTTAATGATGGTAACTGGGACTGGTTAATTCTGTTGCTGAGCAATGTGGCGACAGAATGGAACTCACATGACCTTGCTGACTTGTAACCGTATTTCTAGTGGCTGTCATTAAGTGAGACATGAGGATGGCAGCAAAGATCACAATCTGTCGATCAAGTGACTATGGGGCGTTGTGACTGTCTAAATTGCACAACAGTTGCCAAGTGCCCAAATCAAAATCATGTGACTACAAGGACCCCACAATGGTAGCAATTTTGAAGATCGGTTGTAAGTCTCTTTATTCAGCCCCATGTAAGCTGAACAGTCGGCTGAACAAATGGTCTTAATGATCACTCATTCAGCGGCTGTTCAAACTTAGAATGACACTGAATGAGGACTGCCTATATATTGTATATTACCTTGCCTTTATTTTATTACAATCTGCTTCGCACATCCTGTGGCAGGAAGCGAGAACATATTCCTTTTTTTTGCAGAGTCACTGTAAAGGTTTGCAATATTTCATGAGAGACTGAGCTGTGTTTGATTAGTTGGAAAGGCAAAGGATGCTACACAGCACCAAGTAATATTCGCAGGATTGAGATTAAACAGTTCCCCCTCTATAATTCCCATAATCCTTAGCCAAGATGGGGAATGATCATGCAAGGAAGGCATCTGGAAGACATGTGGCCTCTGAGAAGTTGCACATTCAGATTAAATCCCAAATCAAAGGCACATCACGAAGATTTTAGTGCCTGTCTTTGTTATGAAATGTAGGTACAAGCTGATTTATTCTTACTTTCAAACCAACAGTCCATCTTTCAAACATTTTGGGAGCCTGTATCCAGAAAAGATCCATCAAGCCTATGGATTCATTTTTCAGAAAATTTGGGACATTTCTTTATCTGCTCTAACATGGGACACAATCTTTACTCCATATTTAGGGAAGCTCTTTTCGACTGGGACATTTGGCATTTACTTCACCCTCACCCACCCAATAAGCACAGGATCACCAAACAAAATACTGTCACCAAAGGGCTACAAAAGAGAGGTTTTCTCATCCCCCTCACCTCTTCCAGGTGTGAATTCAAATCGGATGTCATTCAGCTCCTTTTTTGAATTCCTGTCAGGGTAGAGAGACACAGTTAGATATTATCAACATCTGTGTTACAGACGAACGTTAAATCACATTCTACAAGGAGTACAAAACCATGCTTATTTCTGAGGCAAGCCTATTGAATCAGTATCTGAAGAACAGTCTACAATTAATTTTATCTAGCCTAAACTCTCCCATCCTACCCTACAGGTAGTCCTCAAAAGTGGGGGGGAATTCACTTAACTCATTTAGAAATAGAAATTTTGGGTTGAATTGTGGTTTTAACTCAAGGATTACCAGCACTTTGTGATCCAGGATGAATGACGGCAGTGGGAGGGCTAATTTGTTCCCTCCAGCAAGGAATTCAGAGACACATGGAACAAAACATTTAATTTTATCCTGGGCTCGTAATGAAACCACACAATGCAAGGAATCTTATTTTGGGCTCAGAATTCACACAGCAGACATTTTGGGTGCTAGACGTCTTACCCAGAATCAGAGAAGTGTAAATCTATAGCACGTGAATAAAATAAAATATCAATAGAACATATTAATCCAAATCATCTGGCTGCAAAATGGTCATTGGTCCAGCACAAACTGGTAGATAGGGTTGATGTTGTTGTTTTTTTAAATTTCCCAGTTTTGTAAAAGAGAGGGACCTGGTCCTGAGTCACCCGTAAGCTTGTGTGGTTCAGGTAGGATAAGAACCATAAGCTTCCTGTGGCCGTGAAAGTTGGACCTTAAAAAATCAAGACAGGAAGAAAATCGACTCGTTTGAGCTGCGGCGCTGGAGAAGGCTCCTGCGGATTCCTTGGACAGCAAAGTCCTGGAGCACATAACACCAGGCATGTCACTGGAAGGCAAAAATCACAAAACTGTGTCTCACTTGCTTTGGCCACGTCATTCAGGGGAATTCACTGGAGAAAGCAATTATGTTTGGAAGAGTTAGTGGTAAAAGGAAACCAGGCCTCCCAAGAACACGATGGCTGGACACCCTCAAAACTGACACCATCCAGAGCTCAGAACAACTCAAAGAAGCACTGCAAGATCGGAAGATGCGGCCCATTGAATTGCCAAGAGTCAGACACGATTGAATGGATAATATCATCAGAAGAACCTGGATCTTCCCACTCCCAAGTCCAGCATCTCTGCCCCTAGACCAGTTTAGCTTTCTCTCATTCCCAGCCTGCTTACCTTAATCGTAGAACGAGACTTATTGGAATTTTGGGCTCTTCTTGTGCTGTAGGTGCAGGAGGTGCCTTATCAAAGGAGAAAAAGAGACTTTTTTAAAAAAAAAATTCATGAAAACAAAGAGTTACTTACAATTACAACTGAACCCAAAATTTCCATTGTTAAGCAATACAATTGTTAAGTTATTTGTGCCCAATTTTATGACCTTTTTTGCCACAGTGGTCAAGTGAATATTGAAGTTAATTGAATCATGTGATCACTCAATGAATCTGACTTTTCCTCATTGATTTTGCTTGCTGGAAGCCGGCTGGGAAGGTTGAGAATGATGATCACATGACTCTGAGACAGTATAACTGTCATAAGTACATTCTATTTTCCAAACCCTTGAATTTTTATCATGTGACCGTGAGGCTGCTTCAGAATTGTCTTCTAGCGAGGTGTGTAAGTGTGAAAAACTGTTCATAAGTCATTTTTTTTTCAGTGCCATTGTAATTTTGAACAGTCACTAAACAAATAATCAAGGATTACCTGTAATGATATATTTACCTTCTCAAAAAACTATGAAAACTTTGAAACTGATCACTTCAAAGGCAGGCTGAGAAATAAATAAACTGAGGTGTTTTTCAATTGGATTCAAATGAAAACTTCCTGGGTTTTAATGTTTTTTTACCTTTTTAATATGTTTTGCCCAGCATCTGGTCAATCCATAAAATTTGGAAGAATATTCAGGAAGGGATTTTCTTGTTGTGTCATTCTCAACTTTCCTGGATTTTTACCCTGATGCCCTATCAGCACACAGGATTTATTTATTGTGTCCTTTAGCTGCAGTGTGTGAAAGAACCTTGATATGTTCTTTTTATTAATTTTGGTTTTTAACAGATCCTTCAAAAGGCCACTCAAAGTGAACAGAAAATAGCACGGCTGCACAGAATTCACTAGTGCAGAGCAAAATAATAGTCAAACTAGGCCAGGAAGTACTGCGTGAGCTGGGAACGATGGAAATTAGAATCTTAATATCAATGGAACCTGCTAGAATAGTTAAGACACACTGAATGGCGTGATGCTAAAAAGGAGGTCAGGAGACAAGGGGAAGAGTAGCATGTATATCATGTAATCAGAACTTTCCAATCTTTATAAAAAATTATTTTTTGCGACTGATATCGTTATTTGGAAGGTTGGTTTTACATATTGCAAGTTTTGTACTGCGGACAAATTTCAGGTAGTCCTCAACTTATTCATTACTGACTGTTTAAAGTTACAACACTGAAAAAAAGTCACATGACAGAGTGAGCTCCAACTACTTGTCCTAGCTTCTGCCCACCTAGCAGTCTGAAGCATGCAAAGGCAAGTAGATAAATAGGTACCATTTCGATGGGAAGATTGTTCAGTGCGCCTTGGTATAGAGCCATGCTGGCCACATGACCATGGAAGCGTCTTTAGACAATGCTGGCTCCCTCAGCTAAGAAATGGAGATGAGCACTGCCCTCTAGATTCGGAAAAGACTAGACAGGGGAAAGCTTTACCTTTGTCTTTTAAGCTCCTCCATTGGGCCTTACCTGTGCTGCCGAAGGAGCTGCTGCTGGAGTTTGAGAAGCTGGACCGGAGGCAGAAACAGGAGGTTGTGCAGGAACTTGACCTGCAGGCTGAGGTAGTTGAGCAGCAGGCTGGTCTTGGAGGTTGAGCAAAGGGCCGGTTGGCTCAGCTGATGGAAACAGCTGTAATAGATTGAATGAATGAATGAACGAATGAACAAACGAACGAAATATTGCAGCACAGTACAGGTAGTCCTCGACTTACGATCACAATTGAGCCCAACATTTCTGTTGTAAGCAAAATATTTATTAAGTGAGTTTTGCCCCTTTTTACAACTTTTCTTGCCACAGTTACCAAGTGAATCACTGCAGTTGTTAGTTACACGGTCATTAAGTGAATCTGGCTTCCCCATTGACTTGGTTGTAAGAAAGTTGCAAAAGGGGATCACATAACCTCAGGACACTGCAACTGTCATAAATATGAATCAGTTGCCAAGCATCTGAATTTTGATCACATGACTGTGGAGAGGCTGCAACGTTTGTTAAGTGTGAAAAACAGTCATAAGTCACTTTTTTCAGTGCCGTTGTAACTTTGAATCGCCACTAAATGAATTGTTGTAAGTCGAGGATTAGCTGTAAGGGGCACAAATGGTGGATCTTCACCAACTACCTGAAAAAATATATCAGCGAATCTGAAGTACAAATGGCCTTTGTACAACCAGCAAAAGTGTGGGCATTATCACAGAACCACATAATTGCAGAATTCAAAGGGACCACATTTGCAGCCCTCTGCAATGTGCTAGAAAACCAGTGAAGCATCCTTAAGATGTGGCTATGCACCAAAGACCCATCTCTTTTGAAAAAATCCACCCTACTGGGGAGGTGGGGGTGGTGGGGGAGACAGGAATGAAAAGAAGAGGGAAAAAGATCAACAGTAAGGTAGACAAGGTCAATTACAGCAGCCATGGTGCATCACTGGAAGATCTGAAACACCAGACTGGGAACAAAACATCTACCTATGGGGTCACTTAAGAGTTAAGCCTGATTTACTAGCACATGATCCATCAACGAATGCAAAGCTGCCTCTTTCTGGAGAGGTCTATAATGCTGGAAAAGAAGGAAGGAAGGAAGGAAGGAAGGAAGGAAGGAAGGAAGGAAGGAAGGAAGGAAGGAAGGAAGGGAGGGAGGGAGGAAGGAGGGAAGGGAGGAAGGAAGGAAAACAACAGCAAGGCGGATGGATTCATCAGCAATGGGGACGCCCTGGAAAGATCAGAAGAACCAAATTAAGGGACAGATCATGCTGGAGAAGTCCTCCTTATGAGGTTGCTTACACTTTGATACCAACTTAAGGGCACACAATCAATCAATTTGGACAACAATTCAGCTCTGTTATACAAACAAGATGCAGGGGTTCCCAACCTTGGCAATTTTACCACGCATGGACTTCAACTCCCACGATTCCCCACTCAGACAGGAAATCCATGCGTCTTCAAGTTGCCGAGATGAGGAACCCCTGATTTAATGGAGATTTCTAATATAACGTACATGATTCACAATTTACCTCAGAATTCTGTAAGGATTCTTTCACTCTGGGAGACTAAAAGAGAGAAAAAGAGACCCGTGATTAGCATACAATGGTCGTAACTGTTTAAGGGTAGAATATTACAGTCCAGTTTTTATGACAAGCTTAATTAATAATAATAATGACAGTAACAGAGTTGGAAGGGAGCTTGGAGGTCATTTAGTCCAACCCACTGCTCACGCAGGAGACCTATACTAGGGATTCGAACCGCAAAACTGCCAACCTTTCTGATCGACAAGCTCTATTAATTTTGGAGGGGACAGAAACACCCTAAGTCATTCACCTGCCTTGGAAATCGATGTATGTCAACGTGTCACTGAGCTGCATGGGGGTTAATATACTTTATTCTGGTAAATCATGTTATCTGAAGATAGACAAGATTGCTAATAACCCTGATATATGTATTTATTTTTATTTTTTTACTGAAAGTTGGAAAGGTGCAGGCAATATGTTAAGAGATTTAAATTTAGTAGCTGGAGCAAAGGGATTGCGCAACAAGCCTGAACACACGGTTGTGGATGATTGATGGAAGAGGGCTGGCTCTTGTGTGAGGCAATCTGTGCTGTGATTGGTTGCTGTGGGTGCGGAGGGGGAGTTTCCCCCTTTTCCCGTCTTTTTTCTTCTGTGGGATCTGCGATTTACCTCATGATGGTCCTGTTTGCCTGACTATCTTGTTTGCGGCAAATATATATATATATATAAAATATTCTTATTTATCTAATACAAGAAGTTCATGTCAGCATCACTGCCTTCATTTGGACACCTGCTGCGCCATTCCCTGACAAATTTAATAACACGCAACTGCAATATGCTTTTTGCTTCTATTTTTTTTTTAGATCATCTGAAAAGCAAACATTGGACAGTTTTGCAATGGTCATGGTAGCATGTCCCAACGGTGCTTTTTTCAAGAGGCAACCAGACTTTCTGTTTTTTTCTTTTGAAGACGTTTCACTTCTCATCCAAGAAGCTTGTTCAGTTTTGACTGGATGGTGGGGAATGGAAGGATATATACTCCTTGCAGACAGCTGGTTATAAACCCTTCCATTCCCCACCATCCAGTCAGAGCTGGAGAAGCTTCTTGGATGAGAAGCGAAACGTCTTCAAAGAAAAGCTGGAAATTCCAGTTGCCTCTTGAAAAAAGCACCTTTGGGACAATCATGTCCTGAATGGCTGAGAATCTCCATAGTCACAGTAGCATGAAGTAGAATATTTTGACCAAGGAAATATTCTATTCTCGCCTCCTGAAAAAAAAGAAAGAAAAAAGAAAGTCCGGTTGCCTCCTGAAAAAGCACCTTTGGGGTCCTTGCCATGTTTTCAAAAATCTTGCAATACAGGCAGTCCTCGAGTTACGACCACAATTAAGCTTGCACTTTAGGGCTATAAATCATGCTTATCGTAAATCAGATCACCCATGTGACAATCCAAACTTACAACCTTATTTGCGGCAGTCATTAAGTGAACACTGCACTCTTTAAAGCAAACCCATAGTTCACTCAAACCGTCATAAACATGGTTGCATGACTGTGTGTCGTGAGTCCATGGAAAGGGGGGGGGGGTGTACCATCGTAACTTTAAATCTGGATCGTAACTAGCTTTCGAGGGGTCCATCCTAACTTTGAAAGTCACTAAGTGACCAGTCACAAGTCAAGGACTACCTGTATTATAAGCAGTTACGATTATATCTTAAAAGAAAAGCAGCAAGAATTGTGATGTTTGCCTGAAGTTCACAATCAAGTTCCTAAGGGAAGCAAGATGTCAAGTGGACTCAGCGATATAGGCATCGTATGGGCAAAAAAAGTCAAGATGGCAGCCACAATAGTGCTGTTACGTTAATATTCAATGGACATGAACAATGGACCTCCATGACACTAATGTGGTCATCATTTTGCCTTTTTTGGATCTCATCCTGTGGATGCCAACATATGGAGTCTACTTGGGTGTAATTCAGTATCTCAATCACTTTTACTAAAATATGGTGAAGTCCTGAGTAGAGCACAGAAAGTCACCAGACACCCTTACAAAGGAATATCCTCATGCAAGCAAAAGCACTTAAAATCCATTATTTCTTCCTGAGGCACGAAGAGATTCAAAGTGTTGAGTTCTGACAGCTTTAGATACAGGAAATAAAGGGGGAGCTGGGCAGAAAGAGATAAACTGGCTTACTAATTGCTTTCAATAATTAATAATTTTAATAGTTAATTATGAGAGTTTGCAAGATAAGCATGCCATGTCTATGAATACTAAACAGAAATCAGTCTGGTTTTTAAAAAGCAGTTTTAGAAGATTTTAGGGTTTGTTTTAACAGATTAGAGAATAATGTTGCGGTCAGAAGCACCTCTGCTGAGGAAAAAGAAATCGCAGAGTATATAGTGAGAAAAATTTTTGTGAATGTAATATGTACAACATCCTGATAACTAACCCACAGCAAAGATTGGACATTGCAATTCTCTGCAACCCTTTGATTTCTCTAAATAACTTTCATTTTGGTCCTAGATTGCATCAATCAGGGAAGGTTGGCACAGTGGATTCACAAAGAATCTTTAGAGCCGTGGAATTTTTTTTCATGCATCTCCATAAAAAATGAAAGAGGGCCAGTATTTTGTACTGGCAAAAGTATTAGACCCAAATGTATGCTTATTTAGCCTACTATGGCATCTACAGAGGTCATGCAATCACTGATATACAACACTAATAAAACGCATTATGCACACAAGCCACAAATATAACCGTATAATATAGAGACATTACAATAAATGAGATAAAATATTAAATATTAGAACAATATTAAATGTAATATTAAGATATTGCAGCAATTAGACTCAATCATTGAAAGGAACAGATAACTCAGAAGATGAGTCTGTAAAATGTGTAATTGGCATCATTCCTGCTTACAGTTTCTAACTGTTCCTATTGCCAGAAAGATAGACCAGGAGGAGACTAATACAAAGCATCAATAAAGGAAAATATTTGTAGTTCAGGGTTGAAATGAGGGGAGCTCTCTGAGCTTGCAGACATTTCATGACCGAACTAGGTAGTATCATCAGTGCTACAAGGGAGAGGAGTTTGTGGAGGGAAGGAGGAGGAGCAGAAGGAGCACTGGGGCGGGGGGGAGAGGGAGGGGGAAGTGGGAGAAAGTGGGGGAGGAGAACAACAAGAACTATGGAGTCCTTGATCAGTGGTGAAATCCTAATTTTTTTACTGGTTCTGTGGGCATGGCTTGGTGGGCGTGGCAGGGGAAGGATACTGCAAAATCCCCATTTCCTCACCACTCCTGGGGGAAGGATACTGCAAAATCCCCATTCCCACCCCACTCTGAGGCCAGCCAGATGTGGTATTTGCCAGTCCTCCGAAATATTCAAAATTTCCACTACCAGTTCTCCAAACAGCACAAAATTTCCGTTACCGGTTCTCCAGAACCTGTCAGAACCTGCTGGATTTCACCCCTGTCCTTGATGCTCTCTGGGCTTGGTTGTTTTCTTGCAGCTGTTTCATGACCCAATTAGATAACATCATCAGTGCTAGTAAGGAATGGGGTTTGCACTTTTAGTACTGATGATGTTACCTAGTTGGGTAATGAAATGTCTGCAAGAAAACAGCCAAGCTCACAAGAGCACCAAGGACTCCATAGTTCTTCACAAAGCATGAATTCAGTGAGGAGCTGTACTTTGAGTATTTTAAAAAGTGAAATTGACTCCCACCCTGTGCTGTGAAATTGCCGCTTTGCCCTCTTCGCTTTCTTCATCTAGTTCATCGTCGCTCCATTCCCAGCCACCATCTTCAGTCTTATGAAGTCGTCCGCTGGAACCAGGGACTCTCCTGACCTGCACTCCAACAAGAGCAAGAATAGATGTGTAACAATGCAGTTCTGCTCAGGTAGTTGTATGGGTAGCCCTTGAGTTATGACCACAATTGGGAACAATTGTTGCCAGGCGCTGCGGTCGTTAACTGAGTCACACCTGATTTTATGATCTTTTTTTGTCGTGGTTGTTAAGCAAATCACGTGGTGATTAAGTGATTGCAGCTTCCTCCATTGAGTTTGCTTGTTGGAAGCACCATGGAAAGATTGATGGTCACATGACCCTGAGATACTGTAATCATTGTAAATACAGATAGTCCTCGAACTTACAACAGTTCGTTTAGTGACTGTTCAAAGTTACAACAGCACTGAAAAGTTACGGCACTGACTTATAAGTTATAACCATTTTTCACACTTAGGACCACTGCAGCATCCCCATGATCATGCGGTCAAAATTCAGATATTTGGCAACTGGTTCATATTTATAACCTTTGCTGTGTTGTGTGATTAGCTTTTGCGACCTTCTGTCAAGCAAAGTCAATGGGGAAGCCAGATTCATTTAACAATTGGGTTACTAATTTCACAACTGCAGTGATTCACTTAACAACTGCCGCAAGAAATGTCGTAAAATGAGGCATAACTCACAATAAATGTCTCACTTAGCAACACAAATTTTGGGCTCAATTGTGTTCGTAAACTGAGAACTACTTATACTTGCTGGTTGCCAAATGCCCAAATTTTGATCAGGTGACTGTGGAGACATTATAACAATTGCAAGGACGGTCATAAATCAAGGACTACCTATACGGCCTCATTGCATCTCCTGTAAGGCTTTGATAAAACGAAAAGATGCACTTGTTACAATTTTTGCTATCTTGTGCAGAAACAAAAATAGAAAGGCTGTGCTTGACACAACTATCCATCCAGAAATCAATGATTTTTATATATATATATATATATATATCTCCACCCAAGCAGAAAGAGGAGGAAACAAAATGACATTGAAAAATCCATCAATACAGTCACAGCCTACATTTAAAACTAATTTATATACAGCTTGAATATTTTAGTCTTTGCAATAAAAGATGTACTTATGCATCCACAGACAGGCAGGCTGTCATCCCATTTGCCAGCAAATTAAGCCACGCACCAAAACAAGCAAAGGAACATTAATTTATTTATGAAACTGTTTCATTATTTGCCATACAGCAGGGGTTTCCAATCCCCAGGCCGTGACCCACTACTGGGCTTTGAGCTGTTCTGTACCGAAAGAGTGGTGAGCGAGTGTGCGCCCGCACTTCCCCACTTCCACGAGCAGCAGATGAGCGTGTGTGCATGTTCAACTTGTATCAGCAACACACGTGTTCCCGCCACTCACGCAAAAGGAACTGTGCATGCATGTTTACCCGTCACTCGCGCGGAACCATCCCCTCTTCCCCCTCCCTTTGGAAGAATACTGAATGTTTGCAATTCACTTAACAAGTTAGCAACAGAAGCCAATGTTTTGGTTTTTTAGCTCAACTGTCTGGTTTGTTACCAGAAACGCAAACCTGCCATGTCAGCTTAGATAAAACTGTATACCTACCAAAGATGCTGGCTAACTACTTTTAAAGCAGGAGGAACTAAGTTTCTTTAAGATATGTGAAATCAGCCAGAATTATTTTCCCCGCTTCTCAGGCTACAGGCAAGCTACACATTAAGACAAGATGCAAGAAATTTTACAGAACCATTTTCATGCAGATTTCCGCTTTAATTTGTACCTTCCTGGCTCTTTCAGTGATAGTTGGGGCTCTCTGCAATATTTTTTCTTGTAAAAATTCTTTATTCTGCAAAAGGAATGAAACCATCAGTTATTGCAATCTGCTCTTCAAAAGCTACAGTTTATCGTTATTTACTGAATTGATCAGCCACCCAATTCCAGGGCACTCAAACTGCATATTCCCCTAAAGCTTTTAGCGGAGGGAAAGAGAGAGAGAGAAAAAGTTTTAGTTATATGATACTGAATAAAATTGCCTTTGACACAAGAGCTAAGAAAGCAATGTATTAAAGAGGAACAATCTCCAGGCGAGTAGTAACATGCTCTGTCACTGGACAGAGGCAAAGATATGCAACTATTTTCTTTCTCCACTAGGTACCATAATAAAAATTAAAGCTGCACAAAACTGAACCATAAGGCAGTTGTATTCGGAGTGATTAAACAGTCAATCTGGCTCAAAAAGAATCAGGGCGAACTCAAGAGTATTAAGCCACACAAACAGTTTCACACTTAAAGGATTACCAGTATTGTGGGTGGCAAAATCAGAATAGATCTTAAATGAGAAGCAAACGTGTCATTGGGTGGGGTGGATGGAAATTGGGGGAAATCTCTGATAAATCATTACATTTATATGTCGACCATCTAACTATCAAGTGACTGTGGGCAGTTTACAACAATGTAAAAAAAATTACTAAGACTATTCCTTGTCTATAAATATATTTCTCCAACATCTAAGTTGGTAGATGACTGCATCAATCAAGGATCCTATCTTTGTGTTGAATTTATGTTTTACTGACAAAGAAATAAAGGGAGACTAGTATAGATCTATTTCAAGCTATTTAGCTCTCATCAGCTAGCCGTACCCTTCTGGGATTCAAAAGTGGCGGAATATGCGCCATCCCATAATTGGGTAGACCAGGTTGCCCTGATAAAAAACACTTGATCCTACCTTTGCTTTCTGGAAAAATTTGTGTCTTAGAAGTTCAGCTGCTGTAGGTCTATGGACAGAAAAAAAGGAGTTTCTTAAGCCTATGGTATATTGCAGGAATTTTTAAAGAGCTTTTTCTATTTCATATAGGAGAATCACCCACAATAAGAACACAGATCAGAACAGATGTTGCTTTTCACAGGTTGTACATTTCAATTCATACATTAGAGAAAAAGAAACAAAGATGATGTTAATGCTGGATAAAAATTGTGTCTTTTGGCAAAGTGAGGCCATAAGCAAACCTGTGTGATCTCTCAACAATAGTAAGATAAACATTTCCTGCATAATATTCACATTCTTATTTTATGTATTTGCACAGAATTTTACCTGAAGCAGATGCAAATATTTAAGAGTATTAAATATATGATGAGAACAATGCTTTAGTTTGTTTTAATCTGGTTAACCACATGGCCCAGACTAATGTCATAAAACTATCTTACTTTACTTCTTAACATCAGTTCTTAGAAAGTCTGAACCAGAGGCAAACAAACATTGAAAACTAACATTTGTTAAAACATCAATAAGGCAGTTATCAGTGGACATGATGCAATATCCTATAGCAGGAAGTTCCAAAGGCCAATCATACTGTCTTAGTGCTTTCCCATTCAATAATCCTCTGGAGTTCTTTGCTTGTGGCATCTACTTTCCCTTCTTGAACTTCTGTATCCATAGTGCTCAACTTACAACCACAATTGAGCCCCAAGTTTCTGTTGCTGAGTGAGAAAATTGTTAACTGAGTTTTGCCCCATTTTATGACCTTTCTTGTCACACTTGTTAAGTCAATCACTTGCAATGGTTAATAACACTGTTGTTAAGTGAATCTGACTTCCCTATTGACTTTGCTTGTCAGAAGGTTTCAAAAGATGATCACATGACCCTTGGATAGTGCAGCTGTCATGGGTCAGTTGCCAAGCGTCTGAATTTTGATCATGTGACCATGGGGATGCTGCAATAGTTGTAATTGTGAAAAACAGTCACAAGTCACATTTTTCAGTGCCACTATAACTTTGAACGGTTACTAAATGAACTGTTGTAAGTCGAGGACTACCTCTTTCTTGATGATTGTGCTTAAATGTGTTTTGTAATAGATATGATGATTTGGAGAAGGTTAGTTATTAGCAAAACATGATCTTACTCCAGAAAAACTGGAAGGAGAAAGAAAAAAAAAAACTCAAAACTTCTCCCTCCTGAATCTTTTTGGGATAAGAGACGTGCTAGCATAGCAGAGAAATGCTATCAAGTTTCAATATTTTGATATGTGAGCTTAGATATTTTCTTGCAGACATTTCATTACCCAACTAGGTAACATCATCAATGCTAGTCTGCGGTTCAACCTTAGTTTAATTCTGAGTTACAAATATTCTCTCCTATTGATGTTACTATGTCTGCTATTATAGCCTGTATCTGTTTCTCAATCTTGGCCATTGGAAGCTGTGTGAATTTCAAATATACAAATTCATATTGGCTGGGGAATTCTGGGAGTTGAAGTCCACCACAGCTTCAACTGGCTTAGATCATTAACATAGAATTCCAGTATGTCTTGTGGCCTTTGCTTCCTGACCTATCTTACTCTGAAAGGCTAATACAATGCTACAGTTATTTGAAAAGGAAATCTCCCTGAACTTTTTACCCATGATCACTGTACCACGGAACTGTATGCAGCAAAAAAGGGGTTGAACTGATTACAAAAACGCATACAGAAAATCCTATCCCACAAAGCCACAGAAATTCTGCAATAGCTTTTAAACCTGGTGTGCATTATAAGATGACATAACCCTTTCAACTTCATACAGCACAGCCTAATGAATAAGAGAGTTGGAAGGGACTTTGGGGATCTTCTAGTCCAACCCATCCCGTTTCAGATAAATGGTTGTCCAATCTCTTCTTAAAAAAACTCTAATGATTGAAGCACCCACAACTTCTGGAGGCAGGTCGTTCCAGGGATTAATTGTTCTCACTGTTGTTCTAGATTCTCCTTAGTTCTAGATGGGTTCTCTCCTTGATTAGTTTCTATCCATTGCTTCTTGTCCTGCCTTCAGGTGCTTTGGAGAATAGGTTGAACCTCACTCTTCCTTGTGGCAGCCCCTCAGATATTGGAAAATCGCTCTCATGTCACCTCCTAGTCTTTCTTTTCATTAAACTAGAGAGACCGAATTTCTGCAACCGTTCTTCCTATGTTTTAGCCTCCAGGCCCCTAATGACCTTTGTTGCTCTTCTCTTTTTAGAGTCTCAATATCTATCTATCTATCTATCTATCTATCTATCTATCTATCTATCTATCATCTACCTACCTACCTACCTACCTACCTACCTACCTATTTATTTATTGGTTTGATTTATATGCCGTCCTTCTTTGGAGACTCAGGGCGGCTTACAATGCGTTAAGCAATAGCCTTCATACTTTTGTATATACCTATTTAGTAGGGCTTCCGGCCCCCCCTAAGCGGTGTTCTTTTTTATACAAAGTCAGCTTATTGCCCCCACAATCCGGGTCCTCATTTTACCTACCTCGAAAGGATGGAAGGCTGAGTCAACCTTGAGCCTGGTGAGATTTGAACTTGCAATAATTGCACGCAGCTGGTGCTATTTAACAGCATTTTAGTCTGCTGCGCCACCAAAGCCTCCAATTTTCCCATTGGACCTACCTAGCAGGAACAGCATGGTTATTAAGCGAATCTGGTTTCCCCATTGATTTTGCTTGTCAGGTTGCAAAAGATCATCACATTATCACACTGCTACTGTAATAAATGTGATCAGTTTTCAAGTATACGAATGTAAATCACGTGATCATGGGGATGCGGCAATGATTATAAGTGTGAAAAACCATCATAAGTCACATTCTTCAGTGGTGTTTTAACTTCGAATAGTCACTAAATGAAGTCGAGACTACCTGTATTAGATTTTAAACTTGTGCATGTGTGTTCAGGTGTGGCAACTTGTGTGCATTTATATGTGACCATGGGCAGAAAAGGGAGATGCAAGTCATATAAATAAATTTAAAAGAGAGAGGGAGAGAGAAGGAGGAAGTTAAGATGATCCCGCTTGTTACCTTTTCTCTGGGTCTTTCTGCAGGCACAATGAAATCATTTTCCTGAACGACTTCCCGTATTTTTTAAGCATATCCTTGTCTTGAACCCCTGTCTCCAAGGAGGGGGGATCATTTTGTAGTGTCAACATTAAGACCTGAAAAAAATGGCTTCTGTTAGAGACATTGAGGAACATTATGAATTGGCTAACAAAAAAAGACATAGCGAAGACATGAAAGTACTTGAAAACTACTTTTGAGGTCTAGCTGCTCTTTGGCCTAAAGTCCTACAGCATCTGATGGATAACTACTAGTTCTTTATAAGCAACAACTGTTGCTTGTGAAGAGATCACATCTCACCTGCCCTCTTTCCACCATCACTGGGGAAGGGCTCTAAGAGGCAAAATAGCTTCCCTGCACCCCAAGGATTGTAGTGTTCCTATGAAAGTCCACAGTAGAGGACAAAATGCCACACAGGTACTCTTCAACTTATGACCGCAATTGATTTTGTCTTCTGTTACATGCTTAAGCATCCAAACAGTCCCTAGACTTTTTTGCAACTTTTCAGATATACCATTTTCTAAGAGGGTCAATCCAATTTTTCAGACTGTGTGCACACTCTTCATGTCAAAGGAATTACCATATTTTTCGTTATATATTTTTACCCCCCAAAAGGGGGTGAAAATCTGGGTGTGTCTTATATGCCGAATGTAGCTCCGCCCACCCGCCGGCCCCCACTCTTCGGCCATTTTTGGCCAGTTCCAGGCGGCAGGGATCTGGATCAGGGCACAGCCTGAGGAACAACCCTCCCTCTTCGGGACAGTGGGGGGGGGGAATCTGCCCAGCAGCTTTGGGGAACAAGGCGGGTGCCACGATTTGTGGCTGGTCACCCCTCTGGCCGCGCTGACTTCACTCCCCAGCAATGTGAGGAGCCGCCGCCTAACCCTCTCTACGCCCAGGAGCCAAGCTGAGCTGAATGGGAGCCCCTAAAGGGAAACGTTCCTCCTTTCTAGCCATCGCTGCCTGGATTCCAAAATGCAAACCTCAAGAGTCGCACTTCAGGTGGCGGCCAGTTCCCCTGCAATGTGCAGCGGGGAACTGGGAACTGCTTAGGATTCGGGGAGGAGATTGTAGCACTGACGCCTAAAAGTGTTCTTCTGCACAATGCAGAGCCGCGCGCCCCCGTCCTCCTTCTCAGCAGACTCTTCTCTTTCCTCCTGGCCAGATCCGCCGCTTGAAACATGGTACACTTTTTTTTGTCTCTGCACACACCCCATGTTTGGAATCAGGAAGGGGATCGCGGGTTCGGGTGGCAGATACACCGAAAAATACGGTATTTAAACTGGTAAATCTGTAACTTACCTTCATGGGTGGGTATTTGTGATAAGGAGCAGCTCCGGTAGCCAATTCTATCGCAGTAATTCCAAAACTCCAAATATCTGCTTTGAAATCATACCCCCGAACCTGCATTGTAAGAGAAGTTTATTTCAAAACTGGCTTTTCTATTACAGTAACTGTTCAATTCCATGTGTATCTTGCCTGAGTCATACTTGGGAGCTAACCTTCCTTCACCTCTTGGCATTCATTTATGATAAGGCACCTAAAACAGACTTCTAATTTCTCAAACTACTGCCTGAAAATAGCACAATTTGTATTCTTCTTCACAAGAGTGAGAATATTACAAAGACTTTAGCCAAATGAGAGGAATAAACTAATCTTTGGATATATTGGAAAATCATGTTCACTGCAAATATCGCTGAATTCTGCTGTCTTGTTAACTCAGAATTGCCCTTGAAATTGAAGCAATTCTTCCAAAACAAAGAGATGTTAGCTTCCCAGAATACAAGTAGTCTTCAATTGTCACAATTGAGACCATAGTTTCAGTCGTTAAGTGAAGCAGTTGCAAAGTGAGATGTCACTTTGGCAACCGCAAAAGTCAATATTATTTCCATTTTGAACAGAGAGGAACCAAGAATCAAAGACTTACCTTTATTATAAATATTATTTATATATTATGTATTATATAATTATATATTATTATATTATATTATATTATATTATATTATATTATATTATATTATATTATAGTAACTTATTATGATTATACACAAGCTTTATTATAAAGTTAGACTGCCACACTTCCTAAACAAATTCCAGGACTGATTCCCATAGAAATAGTTAAGATATATAGTGAATGAATGACAATGCTGGTTGGAAATTCACACAGCTATTCAACCACCTGTTTAGTGCAAGCATCTTATTCTAAATCCAATTTTATTGCAAGATACCATGAATGGTTTTTTGAAATATGATTCTCTCTTGGCCTGGGCTGACTCATTACAACCCATGATTGGGTCTCCAAAGCCATCTAAACTCCTGTAATGGCTGTGACATTCAGCACCTCTGTGGCTGAGCCCAATGAGAATTATGGTCCATTACAGGTAGTTCTCGACTTACGACCACAATTGAGCCCAAAATTTCTGTTGCTAAGTGATATTTGTTAAGTAACTTTTGCCCTGTGTTACGACCTTTCTTGCTTGTTAAGTGACTCACTGCAAGTTGTTAAATTAGTCACACGGTTGATAAGTGAATCTGGTTTCCCCATTGACTTTGCTTGTCAGAAGATCACAAAAGGTGATCACATGATCCCGGGACACTGGAACCGTCATAAACATGAGTCAGTTGCCAAGCATCTGAATTTTGATCACATGACCATGGGGATGCTGTAATGGTCCTAAGGGTAAAAACATGGTCAGTGCCGTTTTTCAGTGCCATTGTCACTTTGAACGGTCATTAAATGAACCGTTGTTAAATGGATGAGTATCTGTACATACAGAGAGCATCCAACTGAGAGAGTTGGACCACAAGCCTTCTACAGGTAGTCCTCAACTTAAGACCATGATGGTGGCCAAATGGGTCAACTGTACAACCTGTCTTGTAGTGGCCACTAAGCAAATCACCATGGTTGTTAAGTGAATCTGTGATTGTCCCAAAGGTGCTTTTTCCAAGAGGCAACTGGACTTTCAGAAAAGGCAACTTTGGGACAACCATGACTGGATGGCTGAGAATCTCCACAGACATGAATCTGTGATTGTTAAGCAAACTTATTTTTTTGTTATGTGGTGTTTTCGCCGAAAATTGGAAATGCCAGTTTTTGACAAAAATGCCATAAATCATGATCCCGTGACTGCAGAATGCTGCGAACGGCATAAATGTGGGCCGGTTGCTGAGCACCAGAAATGCAGTCACAAAATTGTGTGTGTGTGTGTGTGTGTGTGTGTGTGAGAGAGAGAGAGAGAGAGGGAGATGTTCATCTGAATCAGGTCATAAGTATCTTTCAAGTGTGGGCAGGTCCATGGTAACTTTCAATGGTCACTAAGCAACCAGTCATAAGTTGAGGACTACCTGTACTGCCATAATGGTCTAGGCCCTAATCTCCTCCTAGAAGAAATGAGAGAAGATGCTCATTTTTGGAATCAGAATCCATCCAAGGTTTCTCTCTTTACTACAGTTTGGTGTTTAGTAAGGCTGCGCTCTTCTGAATGTAAAGAGCTCTGGAGAGGAGCCATTTTGTTCCGCCCAAGCGGTATCCTTTGCCATTAGAAATCCTCCGTTTCTTTAGACTACAGGTAGTCCTGGACTTATGACAGTTCGTTTAGTGACTGTGGCACTGAAAAAGGTGACCTATGGCCGTTTTTCATTTTGCAGCCTCCCTGTGGTCACGTCATCAAAATTCAGATGCTTGGCAACTGACTCGTATTTATGACCGTTGCAGTGTCCCCCGGGGTCACATGATCCCCTTTTGCGACCTTCTGTCAAGCAAAGTCAAGGGGGAAGCCAGATTCACTTAACAACCGTGTTACTAACTCAACAGCTGCAGCGATTCACTTAACAACTCTGGCAAGAAAGGCCCTCAAATCGGGTAAAATTCACTTAGCAACTGTCTTGTTTAGCAACAGAAACGTTGGGCTCAATCGTGATCATAAATTGACTACCTGTACAGTATTCTTAAAAGGTTAGAATAACAGAGTTGGAAGAGTCCTTGTAGGTCATCTAGTCCAACCCCCACCACCCGCTCAAACAGGAGACCCTACACCCATGATGGCAAACCTATGGCACGAGTGCCAGAAGTGGCACGCAGAGCCCTCTCTGTGGGCACGGGCGCCGTTGCCAGCTGCTCTTTTGGTTTCCAGCATGCCGGACAGCTGGTCTTTGCATGTGCCGTAGTGCCAGAAAATGGCCCGAAAAATGGCTGTTTTGGAGCCATTTTCATGCCATTTCTGGGCCGTTTTCAGGGCTGTTTATGGCCCAAAAAAGGCCTGAAAACAGCCCAAAAATTATCTGAAAACGACCCAAAAATGGCCCCAAAACAGCCTAAAACAGCCTGGAAAATGGCCTGGAAAACAGCAAAAACCGGCAAAAAAACAGGCATGCATGCACCAACCAGCTGGTTTCAGTTTTCCAGCATGCAAATGTGCACCGGCCAGCTGGTCTTCAGATTTCCGGCACTCTGACGCACACACATGCATGCGCATTCCGGTTGGGCACTTGGTGCCAAAAAGGTTCGCCATCACTGCCCTACAGCATTTCTGGCCGATGGCAGTCCAGTCTCTTCTTGAAAGCTTCCAGGGATGAAGCTCCCACAACCTCTGAAGGCAACTTCTGTTCCATTGATCCCTTCTCATTTGAGTGGTGGCCTTTATGCCCCCATTCTAAACCGGCCTCTATCTCTTCGCATTCCAGCTGTCTCTGCCCCCTCTTGCATCCGCAGACATTGGACATGGACTGAAGCAATACTTTGTTTACTAAGTAAGATGTGACATGCACTCGGGTCACCAAGTTAATGGCTAAACAATAGCCTCCTCCTTCTCGAGCAGTTTCACAACTCAATCCCACTCCTGCCCTGGACTTCACAATGGTCAATAGATTATTGTTTCAACCATCACTGGAAGACTGGGAAGAAATATATCTGGAACAATGTAAACGAATGCTTTCAAAGGAAACTCATTCTCAATAAAGTAAAAGTTGTTTCTTAGACAGATAAATGTTCTGGAGTGTTTTACAAGTAGTCCTCGAATTGTAACAGTTCATTTAGTGACTGTTTTGACATTACAACGGCATGGAAAAAAAGTGACTTATGACCATTTTCACTTACAAACGCTGCAGCGTCTCTGTGACCATATGATCAAAATTAGAATGCTTGGCAACTGGCATGTACTTGTGACAGTTGCAGTGTTCCAGGGTCATTGATCCCCCTTTTGCAACCTTCTGACAAGCAAAGTCAACAGGGGAAGTCAGATTCACTTAACAACTGTGTGATTTGCTTATCTGCTGTGATTCATTTAAACAATAGGGGGTGGGGGGGGAAGGTCGTAAAATCAGGAGCTCACTTAGCAACCACCTTGCTTAGCAACAAAGGTTCCTGTCCCAATTGAGTTTATAAGTTGAGGACTACTAGTATTTGAAATTTCAATGCTCAATGAAAGCCTGTTCCAATTTATTCTTACCTGCTCCATCACTTCGGGAGCCATCCAGCAAGGCGTGCCCACAAAGGTTTTCCTCACTTTGTTTCGTGTAATGTCCCCACCGGTAGCTAAAAAAGCACTTACGCCGAAATCTGAACGCCAAAACACAAAAAGGGGAAAAGAAGGGGTTTAAAAACAAAAGAAGCATTCTCTCTTGTGCATGTTTTTATTTATTTATTTTTTTAAAAAAGCAAAAGCTATGACTTAGAACAGAGGTAAGAAACGAGGCTAGGGCCTCTTTTATAAATCTATCTCAGCATCTACTTCTGTCCTACTATCGCAGCACCATTGAGAGTGTCCTGACATATGGCATTCTTGCATGGTATGGGAGCAGCTCTGTAGCGGACGAAAAAGCTCTACAGAAAACCATTAAAACTGCCCAGAATATCATCGGACTCCAGCTACCAGCCCTGGACGATATCTTCGAATCTCGCTGTTTGAGAAAGTTGCATAACATTCTCAGAGACTCTTCCCATCCTGCTTACAATCTTTTTGGACTGTTGCCTTCTGGCAGAAGATACAGAACAATTAAAACTCGGACCACACATCTTCTGAATAGTTTTTATCCCAGAGCTAAAATTGCACTCAACAATGAACTAAAGGGCCACCATCAGTGAGCTGTTGGACAGCATTACTTGGTCTGTTGTGTGAATGTTTGGGTGGTTTAGGGGTGGGGAATTGTGGTAGGTGGGAGTGTGTTTGGGGATTGCTATGTGTGTTGGACCTGGTTTTTGGGTGTTAAGTAAATTTCGTTGTATGGGTATACCGTGTATACACGTACAATGACAATAAAGTTATTCATTTATTTATTTATCTTTATCACTTGTGGATAAAGATAAATTGAATTCTGTGTGGCCCAGAATTCCTGAGCCAGCCATGCCATGCTGACTCAAGGATTCTGGGAGTTGAAATCCACCTGTGACTTAGAATCATGGAACTAAAAATGAAAATAAAGAAAATAAACAATAAATAGTACAAGTCATCAAGGCCAAGACTGATATCATATACCACATGTAGAGACGAAGTCCTTGTGACTGCAAAGATTAAATGTTTGCTGGAAGGCATCCAGTGGCCAATTGTAAGACTTTTGCACTGGGTACGGTTTCATGTTCCTATCTAGGCTTAACCAACAACAGGTACTGTAATCCTTGAGTTACAACTGTAACCAAGGCTCAATGCGGGGGGAGAGGGAGGCGAGTGTTAGAACTTCAGTTCCGGTTTGTAAGTCTCCTTTTTCAGGTAAGTAATAACTTCGAAAGGTCACTGAGTGACTGGTCATAAGTTGGGGACTACCTGTATTTGAAAGGCATTTCAGCAAAGAAAGTCCTCAACTTAAATGTTCATTTAATGAACATTTGAAGTCAACATCTGGGGGGGGGGGAAAGTGAGTTATGACCCTTTTTGACACTTACAACTGTTGCAACATCTCTATGGGGAAGTGATCAAAATCCAAACACTTGGCAACTGGCAGGTATTTATGTCAGTTGCAGTGTGTGCTGGGCTCATGCGATCACTTTTTGTGACCTTCTGACAAGTAAAGTCAATGGGGAAGCCAGATTTACTTAAGTTTGCAAGTTCGTGTTAATAACTTAACAGCTGCAATGATTCACTGAACCACTGTGGAAAGAAAGATCATAAAATGTGGCAAAACTCAGTTAACAACTATCTCGCCTAGCAAAGGAAATTCTGGGCTCAATTGTGGTTGTAAGTTGAGGACCACCTGTACTACAAAAATTTCTGAAAGCTTTCATAACATTTGCAGAATTGGTGCAAGTTTCTACACGTCTTTCATTTCCACCCTGATCAAAAGAGAAATTAGTTCAGAATCACGCATGTCCTCCAAGGGTCCAGTCACAAGGTTTCTACACTGTCACATTTTCTCAGATTGTGTACAAAATTATGAAGACACTATTGTTGAAAGGAGGATTAAAAATAAAAAGATAAAAACAACTCTCTTATCTGCCATGCATGCAAGGCGTACATTTTAAGTAATCATGTGAAATAACTGCAGCACAACATAATTACGCTGAAATTCAATTTTCCCTTCCGGGATTTTAAGAAGATAAAAGAAGTGTCGGAAAAAGCACAACTTAAACTTAAAAAAAAATCTTTGGCAGCATTTGTTGAGAAAAGTATAGTTTATTAGAGATCAAATATATTGCAGTAGTAAAAAGAACTGAAAGTTGTGTGTCAAAATCTATAGTTTTCCTAAAGGTTAATTCAAGCACAGGTTGGTATGCAGCAGGGTGGATAAAAATCAATGATTTTTTTTAAAAAAATAAAAAAAAATCAGATTTTTTTGATTTAAATCGGATTTTTTTGATTTTTATCAAATATATTTCAATAAAAAACTTTTGGGGTAAAAATCTATCATAAGATAGTTTTCTATTTAAGATACATAAATAATTTAGTTTATTCAGCATGAAATGGAGCTTAGTTATTTAGCATGAGGCTGTATATTCTGCAACACTGGGACTATCGGTGAGTCAACAACGGGTCAAAGGAGAAGCAGAGATGACAGTTGCTCTTTAAAAATTATGATTTAAATCGAGTTGATTTAAATCAAGCCTTTTTACTAGTGATTTAAATCGTGATTTAAATTGTGATTTAAATCAACTCGATTTAAATCAAATCCACCCTGGTATGCAGCCCACTCGTTCTCCCAGCTGGGTTGCCTTGAAGCAGCATCTCAAGGAAATACAGTGCTTACTTTCCTTTCCCGAAATATTCCCCCCTTCCTTCCCCCTCCTCACAGTTCAGTCTATCATCACGCAGCAGCAAAATACACGCAAGCATAAAATCACAGCTGACATGAAGAACGTGCTTGTGAAAAAAAATGGCATAAGAGTTTGCAGAGAGACATTTTGAGAGAAACCCCCCCCAGAATTCAGAGAAATCTCAGAGATTTATTTCAGGTGGCCTGAACTGAAAATTACCCCTCCAGTTTGGGTCTGCTACTTTCCAGATTTGTTCCCATCATTTCCCAGTTTTTTAACTACAACTCCCATCATTTTACGTGTTTTGTAGCACAACTATCACTTTCAGGCCACCGGTGTAGAGAGATTAGGATGGGTTCTCTGCCTTAAAGCCAGATTTATTTCTACATTTACATATGTATTTATAGGTTAGATTTATATCCTGCCTCTTCAATCAGGAGCCTGGGGCAATGGCTTTAGGTAGTCCTCAATTTACAACAACAATTAAGCCCAAAATTTCTGTTAAGTGAGACCTTTGTTAAGTGAGCTTTGCTCCATTTTACAACCTTTCTTGCCACATCTGTTAAGTGAGTTATGGTCATAAGTCAAGGACTACCTGTATCTGTCCCCAGTGCCTCAACCTTAACAGCAGAAATTTTGGGTTCAATTGTGGTCGTAAATCAAGGACTACCTGTACAGGCAATCCTTGATTTACAACCATTTTTTTCGAGACCATTTAAAGTCACGATGGCACTGAAAAAAGTAACCTACGAATTTCCATTGCTATTTGGAATTTTATGGCCTTTTACGCATTTTATGACCTTTTACGCTGTAGCTCTTAAACAAATCATAGCTGTTAAATGAATCATGTGGTTGTTAAGCGAATCTGACTTCCCATGTTGACTTTTCTTGTTGGACACCAGCTGGGAAAATTGCAAATCATGATCACATGAATCCAGCATGCTACAACCGTGTCGGTTACATGCCAGTTATCAAGTGCCCGAATTAGAGCCACATGACCCTGGGAATGCTGTGATGGTCGTAAGCAGGAGGACTGGTTGTAAGCTTTTTTTTCAGTGCTGTTGTAACTTCAAATGGCCAGTAAACGAATGGTTGTAAGTGAAGGACTATATTTTTCGTTTCTTTGTTTACAAATCTCATCCTTGCTCCTAGAGAACCAGATTAGTGTTTTCATTTTCCTTTCACAACAAAACAACAGGGTGATTTTGAAAGGGAAACGTGGCAAAGTTTCACGCATAGTGCTAAGCTTCCTTGTGCCACGAGGGTGGGCAGCTTAGCACACCCTCCCAGATCTTTGGGGATGACATCAGATGTGGGGATTTCAGCTTCTTGAATTCTTGCAAGGTCAAACATGGAATGAGAGGAACTGGGCTTAGGCATTTGAACCATTATGCACAGAATGTATTCTGGATGCTTGAAAACAACTAAAGGCATGCTGGGCATTTTAAATATTTTAAATATTTTTTAGTATTTATATATTCAATTTTAAATTGGTTTTAAAAGTTTGGGGTTTTAAATTTGTCGGGGCCAAAATTATTTAATTTGATTTTATTCTATTTTTTAAATTTTGTATTGTATGTGTTTTTATTGTTTGGCTGTGCACCGCCCTGAGTCCTTCGGGAGTAGGGCGGTATAGAAATCTAATAAATAATAATAATAATAATAATAATAATAATAATAATAATAATAATAATAATAATAATTTGTGACCTCTGAATTTCACCAATTAATCCTCTGGGGTTTTCTTTTCTTTTTCTTCACCTTAAGCAAGAAAATACCACTAAATTGATCAAATATCTTCCTGTCAACCTTTGCCCTTTCTCCACAACTCAAAGAGAGTTTTGTGATTGCAAAGGACGGTAAATCTTCTTTAGAAGAGAGCCTCCGGGTATTTTGGACGGCTAGAGTACAGCTAAATCACGTTTGTTTTTTTTTAATTTGATTTATATGCCGCCCTTCTCCGGAGACTCAGGGCGGCTTACAATGTGCTCAGCAATAGCCTTCATCCTTTTGTATATTTATACAAAGTCAGCTTATTGCCCCCACAACTGGGTCCTCAATTTACCTACCTTAGAAAGGATGGAAGGCTGAGTCAACCTTGAGCCTTGGCGAGATTCGAACCTGCAGTAATTGCAGGCCTTTTAATAAAACCAGGGAACTTTAACAAGCTTACCCATCATTTAAAGACTTGGAACATAACTAAATTGCATTTTAAAATAAAACCATGGATCTCTAACAAGTTTACCAATAGGTGCATTTCACCATTTATGCTATTCAATCGATAAAGGTCACAAATCAGAATCACTTCCTTTGGCTGAAGGTCAACTCACTGCCTGTCCGTCCGTCTGACCATCCGTTCATATCTATCCATCCAT